AATGAGCAGGCACTTAAAGACATGGAGCTGGAGAGATGGCTCAGCAGTTAAGAGCACTGGCTGCTCTTGCAGAGTATCTGGGTTGGGTTCCCAGCACCCACATGGTAGCTAACAACTGTACATAACTCTAGTTCCAGGGGGTTTGATGCCCCCTTCTGATTTCTGTGGGCATTGCATGACACGGGTGCACTTACATGCACGCAATACACTCATACAAATAATAAATAAAAATAATAAATAGGTTTCCACAGTGTAGTGGAAATCACATGCACTTCACAAAAAAAATATTGTTTAAAAAGACATAGCACGAGTCATTAAATTCCACGTGATCTCACCATTCGCCGTGAGAGCAACCATATGTCCAATTACAATTATCACTCATTGAACTGTCTCAATTCATCAATGAGACAAGTCTATGAATGATTTCGTAAGGCTATGAAACACTTCTGCTGACAAATGCAGATCTAAGCAGTGAAAAGGGAACCGAGGCTCAGGCACCTGTACATTGATATATTGATCTTTAGCCAAACTTGCTGAACTGTAAACAGTTAAGATGTTAAGACTAGAGCCAAATCAGGTGTCACACTGCACTGCCTAAACCTTTATATTGATCTGGCCAATCGGCCTTCATTCATAGGACCTTACTGATCATCTCGGTAGCGTCATCACTAGGAAGGGGGAAATACAATGAAAGTGTTTCATGTAAACGAAGCAATGTGCTAGGTTTAGTGGCTCTGCTTGGAGCTGTGACTTCCCACCTTAGCGGTCAATAAGTACTGAGGATTGCGGAGCTCATGACAGGCAATGACTAGGTATGCTAACCAACCATACGTAAAGTCTGTGTAGAAGCTGTGTTTAACCTTCACATGGCTCTGCCTCATCCAAGTTGCAGGCATGTTATACTGAGCACGCAGAGCAGGGTGTAATGGCAAATATAACCTCAATATTGGGGGGGAGGGGGACTTTGCTACAAGCTTCTCTACAATGCCATACACAGTCAAGCCAAAAACAAAAACAAAAAGAAAAAAAACATGGTGATAATCTTGATGTCAAGTAAACTGAATATTTTTGTGACTCTGGGACTTTTAACTCTGAGATACCTACTTTTTCATCAAACCAAAAAAATACTCAAATGAATTAGTTCTTAAGTAGAAAAAAAACTTATTTTTTCTTAGTCTGGGAAACAACACTGTGTCTTGCTCTGTATTCCTGTCTTCTGTCTCCCTTCACTCTCATGAGGAAATCTTTCGCCTTTACCACTTACATATAGACATTATTACCCAAACTGCCCATAACAGTATAAAGGGATATTCCCAGCAACATGATACTTTCCCCTTCAACCTTACAGCATTTGTTTCTGACAATACATTTTCAGCTGGTAAATTAGTGCCTGGGCTGTGACCACAAAGGTGGAGAAAGGAAGCTGTCATTCCTTTTAAATGGCAGGACACCTCACACATCATTCCTAAAGCGAGGTCCTCTCTTAGCATCACTCACAGGCTGCTCAGCAGTGTGCTCATCAAGGCACACCAGTGCAATTGTTAGCTGGCAGTTTAAAGGGGCCAACTTGTCATGCGAGTGACAGCCTGGGCAATTGTTTGCCCTCTGGGAACAGGTACAGGCAGGTTCAAATGAAACCCATCCACATACTAACAGCAAGATTCTTAATCATGTCAATAAAAGGGATGAACTGATGTCTGGGCCTCAGTGGCCATGCCGCTCACACTTTGAATGTGAAATGCTGTCTTTTCTATGGAATGTTTCAAGGCACACATCAGGTCATTATCGTTTTTAATACATGCTACTTATTAGCCAGATGAAATCTCTAACTCTGATCTCTCTCATACTAAAAGGCGTATCTTTGAGTAACACATAGGGAGTCGATTAAAATAAAGGGCCAGGGGTTGGAGAGATGGCTCAGCAGTAAAGAGCACTGAATGCTCTTGCAGAGGACCTGGGTTCGATTCCCAGCACCCACATGACAGCTACGAATCATCCTTAAATCTAGTTCCAGGGGACTCCGAAGCCGTCTTCTGACCTCCACAAGCATTGCATGACATGGGTGCACTCATATACATGCAGGCAATACACTCATATAAATAAAATAATAAAATATTTAAAATATTTTTAAGATAAAATAAAATAAAGGGCTGGAGGACAGGGACAGTAGCAAGCACAGAGACTATTTCAGAGTTTTGGTGGTCTGCATACATACTTGGGAGGCCAAGGGCTGTTGTGAAGGATGATTTTTTAGTTTCATTTTTATTTTGAGCTTTTAACCTATAGAGCCTCTAGGAAACAAATTCCTTTAACTAGGGAGCAGTGGGAGGAAGGGGTTGTTGGTTTAACTGTAGGTTTAAGTTTAGGTATTTGAAAAAAATGCCATCCAAAGTGTAGGTTGTGAAGCTGGGCTACATCTGAGTCCCACTACTTTCTGACTACATGACTTTGGAAATTATTTGATTGTACCACTTGCAACTTACTTGTTTGAAAAATTATATAAAAGGAAAAAGCAATTGTTTAAGGTAGATGAGATAATTCATGTAGCATATTTACTGCAGGGCTTAGCCCACAGAAGAGTCTTAATAAATAATAGTCACTATGTATGCTACTTTGTTATCAGCTACTGGGTACTTTTCCAAACATAGTTTTCTAATTAGTGATATGTAAGTAGTGTACAATATGTAAGTAGTGTAGCCCACCTACAGCTATCAGTTACTCAGTACTCACCAGTGTAAACAATCAAAGCTTTCCCTCAGTACTACCACAGCCTTCTCTTAGGGGACATAAAAAAATTATTTTCTTAGGAAGATCCATTTGATCTCCACAAAGTATAAACCTCAGACAAGTAGCTATCCAAGGAGCTTACGGAGTCTGTATGAAATCATCAGCTTCATCATACCCCCCCAACTACTGTACATGCAAAAACTGCAAGTCCTTTGTGTTTGGACCACTTACATGTATGCACATTTTCAATTAGTTTCCAAACTCAAGTTACTTCATAATTTCTATAAAAATTTTACCTAAGATGATACTTTTTGATTATTTAACTTCATGTCATAAAAAACTATGAATAAAACTCTAATATTCATATTCAAAGAAAAGGACTTACATATTATGCATATCTAGTGCAACAAAGTGTGACTCTGAACAGAAAATATATAAAATACCTATTTTAATGTATTAAAAATATTTTAATGCTTGACCAACAATAAAAACGAATGTGCATCTTGTTTGCAAATTGCTGATTGTTAGCTTCATTTTGTTAGTTCGCCATTTACCCTGTCTGCCAGGAGGCCTGGAGTTAAATATTTACTTCGCACACTCATACACACCTGGTTCCAGCCGAGACTACCTCCTCCTCTACTCTGAACGCTGGCCGCTCTTGTTTTGACTCTATATGTGAATATGAACTTGTAGAATAGGTTTGCTTCAATCATTTTAAGAAGAAAGTGGGACTACAAACTAAATATTTGCTCGTAATTAACTCGATGACTTCATCTCCTCTGTAGTAGCCAATATACTTCCTGAATTCAAAGTTGGACATTTTAAATATATTTTTTAATTTCTAAGAATTTCATTAGTGGGTATTGTATTCTACCTTTCCACCTCCCTATCTCCCCTCCAACTGCTCCCAGTCCCCCCATCACCTCTCAATTTCTTGCCCTCTTTGATTACTATGAGATTTTTATAGAGAAAAATTGAAATAAAAAATATAGAAAAAATAGTTCTAGAAGCCTCCATAATGTGACCTTATCATCCAGGTGCAAATTGCAAAGACACAGACTCAGATATGGTGAGAATCACTATTACTATTGCTTAAAACTCACGAGGGACCAAGAGACATCTTAAAGCCATGGATCCTTGGCCAAATCATCTTTTCAGAAAAAGTAGAAAATGGGCCCCTTCCTAAATTGGACAGAATTTAGGGGACTTATTCTTTAAAAGGACTTTAAACTCTAAGTTTGCCTCACATGCTGGGGTTCTTTTACCGCCTAGAAAGCAGTATGCTCCCAGTGAACATTTACAGCCACTTTAGGCTGCAAGATTTTAAGGAAGTCACAAACTCTCCCTTGAAGCTGACATGTCAGAATCATGTGTTCTAGGTAAGATTAAAAAGAAAAGAAAAAAAAATCCCTAAGGTACAAATCCTAAACTTTTCCTTTTTTGTGAATGATAGCTATTAGGTTTGGACCAGGGGCTGTCGGGTCAAGTTCACCTGCAGCAGCCTCTCTCTTCCAACCCTTGTAGCTGGTCCCATCAATCCCCCTGCAACAGGGAAATGACAATCCTACAGATGGTGAGTCTGTGAGTCTTCCTTCAGCAAAGGAAGCCTGGGAGACCATAAGCAATCGGGGCTGCTGGTGGCAAATCCCGTATGATGGACACACATTAGTGAAAGGGCTGAAAACATGCCCCTTCTCCTGTCCCCAGGCTGAGAATTGGAGTCATCTGACCACAATCATGTAATGTGGGTTACTCATCACCCACATGGCATGGGAACCCCCACACTCTGGAAATTGAAAGAGGGGACTCTCATTCTACCTGTGGGTCTGAGCTCTCCCGGGAGCCCCTGCATGCTGCTGTCCACTGCACTAACAACTGCTCTAGTGAATCTCTTACCCAAAAGGACAGTCAGCCTCAGTGAGCCTTGAACCCTAATTCTAAGATCCTTACAGGAATTACTTTTCATTTATTTCAAAACAACAGAATGTGTGTGTGTGTGTGTGTGTGTGTGTGTGTGTGTGTGTGTGTAGAGAGAGAGAGAGATAATTATAGTCACTTTCTAAGTACATAGAATGTGTTACTACAAACTTTACTGAGCACCTGGCCAAACCAACTAAGAAAAGCAAACATTAGGAAATGGTTCTGTAATCTGAACATGCTGGAGGGTTGGCTGGCCAGCACTCAAGTTGGACAATCACACTCTGAGCATCTGACAGAAAGACAGCCTTACTACACGGAGGGAAGCCCAAGAGCCAGCATGGCCGAGACCTCACCTCGTTTCTCCTCTTCGCTGTCCGAGCAGCCATCACGCTCCCGGATCTCACTGTCATCGGCATCAGGGGCCTTTTCGGAAGAGGTCTCAGTCTCCTTTTCGGGGTCTAAATTGTCTTTTTCACCCTCACTGGTTGACTTCCCACTCATCTGATCATCAGCCTGACCTTCATCAGCTCTCTCATCTTGCTTCTCATCGACTTCAAAATCTTCTTCGTAGTCTGAAAGAAGAAAGCCTGTACGGTTAGAATGAAGACAGAATTCTGGACGCGCCACCCACCTCACTGTAATGAGAACTCTGACTCCATTAATCTGGCTTCTCCGGGTCATTCTGTGATGCCTCTCTTTCGTACTTTTAGTGAACACGGAACACTAAGATTAGGTGATCAAAGACTGCAATCAGCTATGTGCAGAGGAGCAGGAAAGGAACGGAGCTCCAAGTGACAAGGCTGGGGGCTGACAAGCTTTCATTTACAATGGGCATTGCTACCCACAATAGAGCAGGAGAGGAACTTCATATAAGCCAATAAACTAGAAGTAAATTAAAACTGAAGAGAACAGGATTACAATAATAGAAGTTAATCTGGAGACCCACCAAGGTCATATTTCATATGAAGACTGCTCAAAATATTTGGATATCATGCTAATGAATAGTGAAGTGGAAAAATTCAATTAATCATGTCTGAAGGACCTGAGAAGCAGCATTTTCAATGAAGCATTGAGAACGTCATGGGCCCTGGGCAAAAGATTTATTAATGATTCTATAGCTAGGCCAGAGTACAAAGCATGGATATTATTTATTCCTGCAATGCATGACATAATTACAATTCAAGTCTAAAAATTCTTACAAAACAGAGGATTACTGTTGCAGTCCCAAATATGTTGCACTCCCCACAGAGATGGAGCGAATTTGTACCAGGGAAAGGAAATTGTCACATCAGATGAGCTCCAGCTGTCTCTCGTGGCTATAATTTTTCACCTTTCATATTTAATTGTTTCCTCTTTCTCGTCCCCAAAACTAAAATTCTCGAAGTGACAGCATGCCACAGACAGACAGCAAGAGGCTCTCATGCAAAACCAATTAGCAAGTAAACAATTATCCTCCAGCTTAAAGATACAGGAAGCAAAGGTTCCCCAATTTTGCGTGCTTTAGTTCTTAGATAATCATTCTCCTCTGGTAGTGGGGCCTAATGGGTAATTTACTTGAGCACTGTCCACCCTGCTGCAATCACAGAAACTTAATTTAGAAACCTGTGCCCTCCGCATATAAGGAAAGTACTCGTGATGCTGAGAACAAATGAAGACTCTAAGGGAAGATTTGAAATAATAAGGACACACAGAGGACTCTCCAAAGGAAAGCTGTGGGACGAGGTAAAGGTGGGGGAGACAGTTCATGTTTCAAGACAAAGAGGAAACACCAACAAAATAAACAAGGTCTCATTCAAGAATTGCTGGGAAGATTATATGGAAAAATCTCTTCTTCAAATTTACTTTTCTTTATGTGTGTGTGTGTGTATATACACACACACATACACACACACACACACACACACACACACATATATGTTCTGTAAGTGCAATGCCTGCAGAATCCAGAAGACGGTATGAGATTCCCTGGAACTGGAGTTATACTTGTTTGGCACCCATTTTGGGTGCTGGGATCTGAACTCTAGTTCTCTGGAAGAACAGCAAGTGTTCTTAACTGTTGAACCATCTCTCTCCCCAGGGAAATTCCTTAACTGTTAATTAATAAATGTTTACAGAGAATTTTCTATGTGAAAGAGGATAAAACAGCAAAACAAAGACATAAGAATAAGATTATTTCTTCTGCCAAGGAATCTCCAATCTCTGCTGAGGAAATATGATTTAGTTTCACAAAAATAGTGCACTCTTTGGGTAGATGCTTTTATACAGTGTTCTCAGTAATATTAGTTGTTTCTTTAATTGAAATTATTAAGATACAGATTTGTGAACAGAATAATTATATGCTAGCTTACAGTTCATTATAAAAATATGTGAAAACTTAGTCGGAAATGAAGATCTGAAGTTACCTGAAACCCTAAAATGTGAAGTGGTTTCTCCCGTATGTTACTGTTGATCATGTTTGCACAATGATTTTTAAATACCTATTATTTGTATTTTATGTGTATGAGTGTATTGCCTGCATGTCTGTAAATGCACCCATATCATGCAATGCCGTGGAGGTCAGAAGAGCGCATCAGATGGCCTGGAACTGGAGTTACAGATGGTTGGTAGCCACCATGTGGGTGCTGGGAATCAAACCTGGGTCTTCTGCAAGTGCAGTCAGTGCTCTTAACTTCTAAGCCATCTCTCCAGCCCCCAGAATTATTTTTAAAGTGATGTTAGTTTTGACACTTGGAGACATAACATTGTAGAGTTTTACTTAGGACTCATAATAATGTCAAATGGTAACAAGGACAGAGCTCTCTTTATCCTTAACTTTGGGTCTCTAGTAACCAATGCTCATCTGTACTATGAAAATATTACATGGAAAGTTCCAAAAACTAAACAGATTACGAGTTTTTAATAACTTTTATCCCTGTCTCACACTCCCTCACTCTCTCACCTCCTCTCTCCCCTCCACCCTCCTCCCTCTCTCCTTCCCTCTCTGGTACTAGAAGCTGAACTCAGGGCCCTGTACATACTAGGCAATCTTCTGCCCCTGAGATATACCCCCAGACCTATCTCTACAATATATTCTCATAAGTATTCTGTTGTGTGTTAATGTCTTACTGTGCCTGATTTATAACATTTTGTCATAGACATGTACAGTGCATACACACACACACACACACACACACACACACACACACACATACAGGACTCAATATTCTCAGGTTTCAGGCATTTCCAGGACAATGTCTACAGACAGACTAAGACAAATATAAGTGGAATTGATTTAAAGGAAGGCAGAAGTCACCATAGGGGGTTGTGCAAGACTTCTCAAGAGGAGTTGAGGTTAGTGGAAGAATACACGTATTATTAGGAGGGATAGCGTGTATCTGTGTAGTTGATACACACATGTGTGAGCGGGTAGAGGTGCCTGTGTGCGCATCAGAAAGTCAGAGGAGGACATCATGTACCCTGTCGTGGATTTTTTTTTGTTTTTTAATCTACTTGACACAAACCTAGACACACCTGGGAAGAGGGACCTCAGCAGAGGAATTTCCTCCATCAGGCTGGCCTGTGGGTATGACACAGGAATACCTCCTTGATTACTAATTTATGTAAGAGGGCCCAGCTCATTATGGGGCATTCCATCCCTGGCCAGCTGGGTTTGGGATGTATAACAGAAGTAACTGAGCAAGGAGAAGCAAGCTGGTAGGAAGCCTTGCTCTAGGTTTCTGCTTCAAGCTCTCACCAGAGGCTCCTGCCTCAGCTTCCCCCCTGCAAGACGAAATAAACCCTTTCATCCCCAAATCGCTTTTGGTCACGGTGTTTATCACAGTCCCAGGAAAAGTAACTATAACTCTGCTCTATCGCTCTTTACCTTTATCCCCTGACACAAGGACTCTCACTGAACCTGGCAGCCAGCAAATCCTGGTGGGGGTGGGGGACTGTCCTGACTCCATCCTACAGCGCTGGGGTACAGGTGCATGTGTCCATGCCTGGCTTTTTACATAGGTTTTAGGGGTTTGAACTCAGGCCCTCTTGCTTGCAGATTAAGTGCTCTATCCTACTGAGCTATCTCCTCAGCCCCATACATAAGATTATTTTAAAAATACCTGATGTGATTCAAGATAGGCAGGAGTCTTACAGAACATGAGTGGGTCGTAACAATTCTATCCCCAGTATGACACAATGGTGAAGCATGAGGCCTGGGGATCAGGCAGTCACATGTCCCGTACCAAGACAAAACCTTTCCTGGCTATGTGTCCTTGGGCAATTTAACATCTTTAAGTGTCACGTTCTTTATCTCTGACGTGGTTAGCATGGAGCTGTGGTGGTACAGCACCACGAGCTGCAGGTCATCTAAGCATTAGGGCTTAGTAATAACTGGTTGTTACTGGGTGGTGCAGAGGGTTGGTCACAGGGCAGGAGAAGTCACAGGCAAAGCACCCCTGAGAGATATGCGTTCTGGAGGCACCTGATTTAAATCGGAGCAGTACACGTGACCACAATTAGAACCATTATAGTTATGTTACTAAAATGGGGGCATAAAATTGAAGGAATACCTAGTGGACGCAGAAACAGCTTTGCATCCTGTTTTACACAGGTTCCTGTGGTTTTCCCTCAAAACATAAAATTCGAAGTTGTCCTAGCTCCTTGCTACCCCAGCCTTCATCACAGGGGCAGGTCGGCCCTCTGTCAGCCACCAGATTTCCATTTTTATCAGCGCTCAAGGCGAAGCAGCCTTGAATCACCCACTCCAGGCTGCAGTAGGAGTGAACGAACCGCGCGCTCCGGGCCTCTCTCCCTTCACATTTTCCTCACTCTCTCATCCAAAGTTCTCTAGAACTTTGCATTAGCTGTCGCCCCCCATGCCCACTGAGGAGGAGCTGGGGGCAGCAGGTCAGCATCCCATCCATGGCCTGGCCACCCCCTCCCAGCCTCTGTGCCGCTGCTCAGCAGGCAGCTTGAGACCTTCCTGCTTGTCCTTTGAGGGGTTTCACTGAACGGAGCAGTTAAAGTCCACAGACCCTCCCACACAGCAAGAAAAGCTGTGTCCCAGGAGCCAAAGGCATGCACAGGGCACAGCCACGCTGGTGAGCGAGAAGGGAAGCGGGGCTGTTGCACAGGGCGCTGTCCGGCTCCGGGTCCTGAAGGGGGGTAACCTGAGCTGGGCACCTCCCCTGCGCCCACGGCTCTGCTGTTGCAGCTGCTTCTGAAATCTCAAAACTCTCAGTTCAAATGAGGATCAAAACTAGCGGTCATCATGGGGAGAGGTAACAAGGCGTCAGCATCACAAGATCTCGGTACACAGCCGCATCACCTCTGTCATCCACAAGCGGGAAGCCCAGCACTCTGTGATGTTGTGAATTTCTGAAAACCTCGGCAGTACCATCGGGTAAGGAAGGTGATACCAAGACACCAGGCCCTGCTCCAGTCACCTCAGATGGCCACAACTGCTGCTCTAATCCAGGCTTTGTGTTCTGAGCATAGGAGGGACACTGGCTACTCTTTCCTCCTGCGTGCAGCGCACAGCTACGTGGTCTCTGGGAGTGCCAACCAGCACAGGTGGAAGATTCTCCAGCCCGCAAACGAGTGCACAGGATTATGGAGCCTAGTTCTGATTCAGTCTTTGCGCCTGTTTGAACTCCGGTTTCTCAGCCTTTAAAATGGAGATGGTCCCAGTGCCTCCACCGGAGAGATGAATGTGGAGAGTGTGTGTGTGCTCCCTGTTCTTAGCCTGGCACTGTGCACGTGTGCATGTGTATGTATAGGAATAGGAATGTGCTTGCATGTGTGGTGAGGGCGGGAAGGAGGGAGAGAGGGAAAGCCTGAGAGAACACGGAAGAATAGGAAAAGAACAAGCCGGTCCTCAGATTACAAAGCTAAATACAAGCGGCCTAAAGCCAGCATCAAACATTCATGTAGACGCTTCCTACTGAATGCCAAACCAGTGTGTCTATGTTAACCTCAAAAGCATGTTCAAAACCTAACAGGCAAATTTCCTTCGTAAGTGGCCTCTGCAGGAGTGACCAGGGGCTTGGGCTCACAAGGACAGGTGCTACTGTGTGCACCCCTAACAAGCACTCCAAGCCTTCTGGGGCAGCTGCACTTCTCTCACATAGGGGAAATGGGTCACAGCTGCCTACGGCCCACAACTGAATGACAGCCGTTCATGGGCCATTCCGAGAACCTCCAACGGTACTTTTAAAGACTTAGAACAGCAGCCAGAAGCAGGCTGCTCTCGGTTACCGTATTTGAAGGTGTTTTCCCGGTCCTCGTCCCAGGCGCCCCCTGGCTTCCCTCGCCACTCCATTTCTTCCACCGCCGTTGTCACTTCTCTGATCCCTGATTTCATTTCCTCAGCCGAGAAGCTGACTGAAAGGGCTTCCCTCCCCTCCGTCTCGTTTCTTCTCGACAGCACATTCTCTCTGTCCTGCCTCAGTTTCCCTGGACCCTTCTTTGATTCCTCTCTCTTGTCAGTGTGGTTTTCCCTCCTGGATTTCATCGAGGATCCTTTTCTGTCAAGGCCCATTGCAATAATGCACCTGTGAAAAACACCAACATGAAGCTGTTATTAACCCTATAGGAGAACAACAGAACCACAAGGCTTTTTAAATCATGTGTTTCAGATTCTAGTATGAAATTATGAGAAATATTTTACTGCTGTACATATAAACTCATTTTTTATATAAAAATCTTACATATGAACATAAAAATTCTTAGTTTTACCCAAAATAATAAAAAGGGGAAAACAAACTATCAACCAAGAACTATAGTATCAGGCTTAAAACATTGTATCTTAACATTTCAGAGCACATTTTATAGATTTACATATACAGTAATTCACATACAATACAGATACATAGATAGGCAGTAGGTAGTCAGGTAGTGGGTTGGAAGGTAGATGACAGAAGATAGATGACAGATGATAGATAGATAGATATAGAGAGATAGATGATGATAGATAGAGAGATAGAGAGATAGGTAGATGATAGATAGATGATAGATGATACATACATACATAGTTAATAGATGGTAAAGATAGATAGATAGATAGATAGATGATAGATAGATGATAGATAACCCACTATAATCATCCTGCCTCAACTTCCCAAATGGTAGGATTCCAGTAATTGATAGGTGATAGATCAGAAAGATGATAGATAGGTAGATAGATAGATAGATAGATAGATAGATAGATAGATATAGAGAGAGATAGATGATGATAGAGAAATACAGAGAGAGATGATAGATAGATGATAGATAGATGATACATCCATACATAGTTAATAGATGATAAATAGATGGTTGATAGATTGATAGACAGATAGATGATAGATAGATAGATGATAGATAGATGATAGGTAGATAGATGATAGATAGGATAGATAGATGATAGGTAGATAGATGATAGATAGATAGATGGATAGATAGATGATAGATAGATAGATAGATAGATAGACAGATAGATAGATAGATACATAGATAGATCACTCAAGTCCTTAAGTAAGAATTATGTAATCAAGGGTCTAGAGACATGGCTCAGTGGTTAAGAGCACTTGCTGCTATTTCAGAGAACCTGAGTTTGATTCCCATCTCTCCAGCCCCACATGAGTAATTCTTAATGGTTTTTAGAAATCACACACCCAATCATTTCATCTTACCATGCCCTCTTTTCTTATCATAAGCATTTTAAGTGTCATTACTTAAACAGGTTGGAGGAATTAATGTGCAGTGCTTAAAATAACCTGAAAATATTTAGTACAAGACTAAGAATGTGGCTCAGTAGAGAGCTTGTCTAGCATGCATGAAACCCTGAGTTCAATCCTCAATAATGCATTAGTCTGGTGTGGTTGGTGCACACCTGTAATCCTAGCACAAGGGAGGTGGGAACAGGAGGATCAGAGTCCAAGATCATCCTTAGCTACATAATGAATTTGAGGCCAATCTGGGCAACATGAGAGCTTATCTTAAAAATATGAATGAATGAATGAATGAATGAATGAATAATGAATGAATGAATGAATGAATGGTAAATAAAGTATTACTGTACAAGTGGCAAAAGCAAAGAACTACTACAAATTAATGAAACCAGCCCCACGATGGTAGGTCTCAAGTCTCCCTGGAGTTCTGCCTCTAGCGTATTGGTGCCTCTGGAATAGCTGGAGTCAAGTGGGGAAGAAGGTAAATAAGAACCTAGACTTACCCACCCATCCTCACCCAGTTCCATCAGTATGAGAGGATTTTTACCTCTTCTGTGACAGGAAAAGAGCAAATGAGATACTAAGCACCTACTGATGTCTTTGGAAGAAGCAGGTTTGAAGCTAACAAAATTTTGTAAGGCTAGTCTATAAGAACTATGTAAATTCCTTGAAGGTGATAGGACTCATTCTTTAACGTCATAACCATGTTCATGTTCTTTGGAAAGCAGCAGAAAAAAATGGATTGGCCAAGAGTTGAAATCACAGAACTGTAGGGAGGCTAGGAGGCGTGGGAAGAGCTGCTGTCACTGGCCATTGTGGGACCTGGATCTGCAGCCACTGAAAGTCCTCCTAGCTCAGAGTTCACAGCTCTGTCTGTGCAGCAGCTCCAAAGAATGCCCCGTGTGTGAGTTATGTCCCTGTTGCTGTGATAGAATATGCCAGTGAAAAGCAACTTAGAGAAGAAAGTGTTTTATTTAGCCTACAGCTCCAGAGGGGTAGAGTCTATCATGGCATGGAAGGCATGGAGAGTCAGGGCGGACTGGCATCCAGGAAGCAGAAAGAGAACAGGAAGTGGGACCAGGCTATGGAACCTCAGACCCTATTCCTAAGTGACTGCTTCCTCCAGAAAGCCTCCACCCCCTAAAGGTTCCATGACCTCCCTCTCCCTAACAGCAGCACTGTCCCTAGGGGGACATCCCTCATTCAGCCCACCACCATATCCTGTCTCTCATGGATAATCATGTACAGACCCATTCATTTTCCTGGGAGTTAAAGAGAAATGAACTGAGCAATCTGCCCATAAACAGCACATCTGAATAGGGACAGGAACGCCATCCTGTGAGTACTAAGCACAGCTAGTGCTGTTCCACTTGGCCATTCACTCTTCCTGTCTCTAGACCTCTTTTCACACTTTTCTCTCCTTCTTAAAACTTCAATCGCACCTCAGTTTCAGCTAAGAAAAGTATTTCCTGTTTTAGAAAACAGCACTAGTGGGCAGAGGCTTTCTAATGATCCTTCACATATCCATCGCCCAACTCTTTCCTCTACGTGGCTCTCTCCTCTTACTAGAACGTCCCTCCTTATGACAGAAAGCCCTACCTGAACCCTAGATCTCATTTTCTCAAATCTACTAAAGCTCTAAACTCTAATAATTTCCCCCCTTATGTAATGCTTCAAGTGTTTTATTTCTTTTTTCCTATATATCAATACTATCAGCATAAAAGTATGCCATAAAATCTCACCTTGTAAAAGAAAAGTCCCCTTTGATCCCTACAATCTCCCTCCTGGGAACCATGCAATTACCATTTGTATTGTCTGCAACCTTTGGCCCTAGCCCTTCTCTAACTGTTCTGTACACCACTGCAATCCTGCTCCATCCTCTTTCTTTCTTGAGCATGTCGTCTCAATATCATCAATACCAGCATATCACCAAATTAAGTCAATCTCCAGTTGTGATGGGCAATTTAGGTTGTGAACACCATTGACTTAAGAATCACCTAGGACATTAATGAGGAACCCCTTTGGGTGTGTCCAAAAAGTGTGTCTGGAAGTTATCCAGAAAGAACTGTCCTGCCTTGAATGTGGTCTGTACCCTCCTCCCCCTGTGGGCTGGGGTCTGTGATTAGCCCCAGAATTCATCTCTGTTTCCTGTCTTTGCATGCAAGGTGTCCAGCCTCTTCCCACATCTGTTGTCATGCCTTCCTTACCATGACGGACTTCACCCTCAAACCCTGGGCCAAACTAAACTCTTTCTCCCTGAGTTCTTATCAGGCATTTGGTCACACCAGTGTGAAAAGTCACAGCACATGAATTAATGCATTCATATATAATCTATCTACACATTTGATTCATTTAGTCACTGACATGTTCTTCAAACATATTTTTCATTTCCAAGATTGATCTTGATCTCTCTTTCTCTCTCTCTTTCTCCCACATGACCCCGTCCCTTTCAAAACACTAAAACACTTGCTTTTCTTCATTTGCTACTCTGTGCCCCTGAAATGGAATGACACAGAGCTCACTGCCTACGAGTCTTCTCCATCTCAACAATGCTCATCCTGGGCTTGAGAGATGGCTCAGTGGTTAAGAGCACTGGCTGTTCTTGCAGAGGACCAGGTTTCAAATCCCAACACCCACATGGCAGCTAACAACCATCCATAACTCCAGTTTCAGGGGTCCAATGTCTTCTTCTGTCCTCTGTGGGTACTACACAACACAGGTGTACTTACATACATGCAGGCAATACACTCAAACACACAACATAAAAATAAGAATACTCACCCCATTCAATGACTTGTGTGTGTGTGTGTGTGTGTGTGTGTGTTATGGGTGTGGCCCATCACCAAGCGAGTGTCTGGTATGTAAGCCCCTGCACACGCATGCTGAGCCCAGAGCAGGACTTCATTTGTTACCTCTACTGTTCTCTGCCTTATGGCCTTCAGACACGGTCTCTCACTGAACTAGTAACTCACAGTTTTGGTGAGGCTGCTGGCCAGAAAGTTCATGTAAGTTGCATATCTGGGTACCCAGTCCCCACCCTCTAAGCTGAGGCTACAGGCCTCAGCATCCCATCCATGCACACAGTTTTTCAATGCTACATGTTGATTATTTATTAATTTATTTATTTTATGCATATAAGTGCTATGCCTGCATGTATTTAAGTTCACCCATGTTGTACAATGTCCATAGAAGACAGAAGAGGGTGTCAGATCCCCTGGAACTGGAGTTACAGATGGTTGTTTGTCGTCGCCATGTGGGTGCTGGGATTCAAACTTGGATCTTCTGCAAGAACAGCCAGTGCTCTTAACTACTGAGCATCTCTCCAACCCCCATGCCCACTTTTGACACAGGTGCTGGGCCCTCACTTGTACAATTGCTCCACCTACTGGGCCATCTCCTTAGCACTAGGACAAAAACTTTTGAGGTGTCTTTGACTCTGCTCTTCAGTCTCAAGCCTAGATCCATCCATCAGTTAAACCTTGTAAGCCCTGCCTTCAGGTAGGCAACAAACCCATCATTTTCAGCTCTCGCTACCATTCCTTACTGCCTACATCAACACCTGCCCTCCTCTCCCTACTCTGTTGGCTAATTTATTCCGCAGAAGCCACTCTTGGATCATGATAGACCTTTGCTCAAAACCTAACATAGAGGCTCTTTAATCTTCTCAGAAAAACACATCAAAGACCTTAGAATGGCCTCAGGGCTTCTAGCTCAGCTCACTGCCTCTCTGACCACAGTGCTCTGACCACACGAGACATACCAAGTCTTCTCTTCCCTCTAGCTGAAAATCTATTTGAATAGAGAGACATTCTTTCTTCTGCTAAAGAAGAAAAGAATCAGAGAGGTGCTCCCCACCCCCAGCTTGCGCTGATCACGGTCTCTCTCAGTTCAGTAATGGCCTGGCCTTGTTTGTACACATTGGACATGTATTAATTCCTTTAATTAGCTATTGCCCTTTCAGTATTGGAGTAAGTTCCATGACAGCACTCTGGTTACATGGATATTTCCTGTTCTTGCTCGGCATCTAGTCAGTTCTTCAAAAATACTTTCAAGGAAAAAAAAAAATGAAAGGACGTCATCAGATGAGAGTCCTGACTCAGAGTATGCGGCCTGGTGGTATAAGGGAGCGTTCTTGTGGAAGGTGTTTTGTTGTCGTATTCTGGCCCGGGGGGGGGGGGGAGACTGGGCCATCTTGTGGTGCAGACACATCTCCAACACACCCAGTGTAGACTATCCAGTCACAGGAGGCAGACGATGGCCATGTCACAGAGATTTGGGCTTTAGCATCAAAGCACTTACAAGAACACAGCAGTGGGAATAAAGTAGGAGGAATCCTCCCTCCCTTCAGAGATGGGGTTGAAGGCAGTGTGAGGGTCAGAGGGGAGACAGAAGTAAAAGGCCACCAGCTTTGTCCACTTAATAGAATACACATGAAAACAGTATATCGTAACTTCACAATCAAACAGTCGAGATTCTAGCCAACAACCTTTAACTTAGATGCTTTAGGGTTTATACACAATGATTATTTTTCTTTAAAAATTATTCAGAGAAAAGCATTTGTGAAAGAAAAAGGGAAAACACAGCAAAACACGCCTTCTGCCAAAGGGCACGTGCTTCCATACTTGTAGCAAGGAGATGCCTTCTCCACACACACGAAGCCGAAACAGCCTCTTCTGCCTCCGAGTCGGGAGCTCCTGCGATGCTTGAACTCGCAGCAGGAGCTGAGTCTGTTCACCTGGATCCCATTCAGGAAAAAGGTGAGGCTGAATGGGAAGCCACAGTGCCGCTTGGAGACGAACTGGAAGTTGTCTGGAATTAAAAAGAAACACAGTAGTGAAAGCAACCGGCTTGGACTGGCATCTTATAAACCACGGTCAGTTTGCTTTTCCGAAAGTACAATATGACGCTTCAGAACATGTTTTAAGATTAAGGGCTTGTTTTCCGTGCAGGACTGGGGATGGAACCCAGGACCCCACACATGCTCGACAAGCACCACACCACCAAGCTATAGTCCAGTCCTGTTTTCCATTTTCCTTTGTGACAGGATTTCTCGAAGGCCCAGGCAGGCACTGGAACTTTTGATTCTCCTATCTCAGGCCCCTTGAGTGGCTGGGACCATAGTATATGGCTTGATTTGAGGACAACACTAATCATAAAAACATTGTTACTTTTAATTATAATAAATACTCCAAATCTCTTTTAAAAACCCTCACTAAAATGCACTAAAACAATCATGCCTGACATTACACGAATTTACATGTAGGCACAGTGTGCAACTGTCTGAGCACTGTAGTTTCTCAACAGTCACACAGACTGGGGACACACAGTACTTGTTTCTACATGTGGAATTAAGACTTGGAGGACCTCAGTGATTTAAGGAGTCACACGGTAAGAAGGCAGTCAGTGAACAAGGCCTTCTAGAGCCTACGCATCTCTCCTGCTGTTAATACATGAAGACGGGCAGCTGTGAGCTCAATGTGCTGTTTCCAGTATTTTGGCTCTTGGCTAGGGAGATGACTCTCTGGTACAGTGATGGCCTTGCAATCACAAGGAACTGGATACCCCAAACCCAAACTACATTAAAGAAAAAAACAAGGACTGGAGGCATGTGATTCCAGCATGGGTGGGGGGAGTCTGGGGGTCCCTGGGGCTTGCTGGACAGCTAGCTCAGCCTATTTGACAAGCTACAGCTCAGTGAGAGGCCACGTCTAAAAGAAACAAAGCAGCTATCCTCTGGCGCACGTGTGCACACACATGCACGAACATCATACATGAACATACAACACACTACCTACACACAGAAAAATGGGGTTTTTTGCCATGGCCTTAAGCATGCTGAGAATGCATACGGTAGCTCTAGTTATTCCAGCTCTAAGCCACACCCGATTCCCTTGGATTTGAGAACCCTTTTCCTCCCTAACCCTTCCAAACATCCCAAATGGGAAGCCACAGTGCCGCTTGGAGACGAACTGGAAGTTGTCTGGAATTAAAAAGAAACACAGTAGTGAAAGCAACCGGCTTGGACTGGCATCTTATAAACCACGGTCAGTTTGCTTTTCCGAAAGTACAATATGACGCTTCAGAACATGTTTTAAGATTAAGGGCTTTTTTTCCGTGCAGGACTAGGGATGGAACCCAGGACCCCACACATGCTCAACAAGCACCACACCACCAAGCTATAGTCCAGTCCTGTTTTCCATTTTCCTTTGTGACAGGATTTCTCGAAGGCCCAGGCAGGCACTGGAACTTTTGATTCTCCTATCTCAGGCCCCTTGAGTGGCTGGGACCATAGTATATGGCTTGATTTGAGGACAACACTAATCATAAAAACATTGTTACTTTTAATTATAATAAATACTCCAAATCTCTTTTAAAAACCCTCACTAAAATGCACTAAAACAATCATGCCTGACATTACACGAATTTACATGTAGGCACAGTGTGCAACTGTCTGAGCACTGTAGTTTCTCAACAGTCACACAGACTGGGGACACACAGTACTTGTTTCTACATGTGGAATTAAGACTTGGAGGACCTCAGTGATTTAAGGAGTCACACGGTAAGAAGGCAGTCAGTGAACAAGGCCTTCTAGAGCCTACGCATCTCTCCTGCTGTTAATACATGAAGACGGGCAGCTGTGAGCTCAATGTGCTGTTTCCAGTATTTTGGCTCTTGGCTAGGGAGATGACTCTCTGGTACAGTGATGGCCTTGCAATCACAAGGAACTGGATACCCCAAACCCAAACTACATTAAAGAAAAAAACAAGGACTGGAGGCATGTGATTCCAGCATGGGTGGGGGGAGTCTGGGGGTCCCTGGGGCTTGCTGGACAGCTAGCTCAGCCTATTTGACAAGCTACAGCTCAGTGAGAGGCCACATCTAAAAGAAACAAAGCAGCTGTCCTCTGGCGCACATGTGCACACACACACACGAACATCATACATGAACATACAACACACTACCTACACACACAAAAATGGGGTTTTTTGCCATGGCCTTAAGCATGCTGAGAATGCGTACGGTAGCTCTAGTTATTCCAGCTCTAAGCCACACCCGATTCCCTTGGATTTGAGAACCCTTTTCCTCCCTAACCCTTCCAAACATCCCACTGATAAACTAAGAACTGCTACTTGCAATGCCACTTTTAATCATTCCAAATCTTTATAATTCTCTGTAGCAAAGTCCCACCCAAGAGTCCCTCAGTCTGAATCCTGCCACATGGCTCACCTTCTGGCCCCTGGACAGTTGTCACCTCTCTGCTCCTCACACCTTTCCTATCATGGCTCTATTGCAGCCTATTAAAACACCATTGCACCAAAGGTTTTTAAACTTTGATGTACAGTGGGGATCACCTAGGGGACTTATTAAAAGACAGACTGCTAACCGATTCTCAGGAGTTTCCCATTCAGAAGTTCTAGGACTGAGGAAGAACTCAGAAAAAAAAGTCTATATTTTTTAATAGCTTTTGGGTGCTTGTGTGCTGGGTCTTTCTTCTAGAACCCCAATCCAGATGCATGCTGAAGGGTGTACTTGAACCTATAACCTAACCATCACACACTTAAAGAAAACCAACATATGACAGAGTATGTGAAGTCCTATGGGGGTGCTATAGGAGAGGCGGCAGATAGGGAGGGAGTCTCCATATGATAAAATACATTGTATGAAACTCTCAAAAATTTAATAAAGTTAAAAAGCACTTTATAACTAACATTTGTAGAAGAGAGTCATTCATCTCTCCCTGGCAAAAGGTATCACTGAGATGCTAAAGGGAAACACAAATACTGTGTGTGTGTGTGTGTGTGTGTGTGTGTGTGTGTGTGTGTGTGTGTATGTGTAGTGGTGTCTTTCAAGAATCTATAATTCAGTTACAAAAGCATGATTAATGTGCCAGACTTGTGGAGTGAGATCATCGAATCTTCTCTTTCCTTAAAAATGTAACTCTGGGCCTCCTCCCCACCTCGGGTGACCTGAAGTTGTACTTGTAACACCAGCTTTCCTTCCCACAATCCTGGCGCCCTTCCTTTCCAACTTGGGCAGGACAGACTGGCTCCCGCAAAGAAGCAGGGCAAGAAGGGCCATTCTGCCACCAGTGGTGACTGGGCTCCGTCATTCACATTCACAAGTGTGTCTGCAGAGTAGGCATCAAGAAACATGCACCTTGGCCACTCAGAGAAATCCAGGAATAAGCCGTGAAGGAGATGGGCTTCTCCAGGTGTTGCACTGACATCAGCTCACCAAAGCTGTCTGGGCCAAAGGAGTAAGCAATGTTCTGTATCTCGTGTGTGTGTGTGTGTGTGTGTGTGTGTGTGTGTGTGTGTGTGTATCATTTGTCCAGAAATAGTAAACTGAATGAGGATTCACCAAACAAGCTCTCTACTTTGGTAATATGTCCCTACTACCGCATTCAAAAGTCAGTCAATGTGGATGAGATTTATCTGTTGAGAGCCAAATAAAGATATAAAAACTGCAAAAATATTATTGCTGGAAATACTCTGAGGACTTATAGTGGACAGCATTTTATGCGTGAAAAATTAGACTTTTAGTGAAGGCAGTGAGAATCTGTGGTCTTCCTGCCTGGGATTTTTCTAGTCCCACACCATGGCCGTTCCATCCCTGTAGCTCTAGGTGGGGCCTAACTTGATGTGGCGCAGAAGACAGAAAAACCCTTGGCCTCTGGCATTTCCAGTAATAAACAGCAACTCCAAGAAGATAACAGGGAAGGTCAGAGGTTCCCTGGGACTGGAGTCCTAATTAGGAAAAGCAAGAGGCCAGAACTTAGCAGAGAGCCACAGGTCGGTGAGGCATCATGGGGCCTACAGCAGCTCTCCGTATAACCCCAGGTTTCTGGCAGCAGTCTGGGTCAGAGTGGGCTCCACCTATTTGGTGAATCAACCTACCTCCATTTTCACTCAGGCACAGAGGAAACTAGAAAGAGCCAGATGGAGAGCCAGGTTTGGAACACAACAGCTGCCTGAATTTGGAGTGTTTTCCTGGAAACACTGAAATTTGGTATCACTCAGAACCTTGGGGAATGACTATTCAGATAGCGTTTGGACTTCAGAGACATCATTAGTGGAGGATCAAGATGGAGTCATGCTGGCTTTTAGTGTCTGCATCTAATGCCTGTTGTTCTCGCAGGAAGAGAAGAGAACATGCAGAGAAGGCCACAGGAAGGCAGAGGCAAACACTGAGCTAACAACGCCACCAGCGGAGGACCACTGGGGACTCCTGGAGCCTGAGCTGGGAGACTCGAAGAAGGGTTCTCCCCACATACCCTGGCATCTCCTTCATTGTGGATTTCTGGCCTGCAGACCCGAGAAAGGATGAATTTCTGATGTTTATGCCTTCATTTAGGAGACACTTGTTTTCTTAGCTCTAGAAATACTACACAAACAGATCAACTGACAGAGGGTCTAAACCTCTGACGAATCCTTCCTGAACACTGATCTGTGATATCAGATACCACAGAGATGAGGCTAAGAAAAAGAACGGAATTTTTAAAAACAGAATAAAACATCACTAGCTTTACCCTCGTATCCCAAGGCAATAGGGACAAAATTTCACATTTATACAGTTACGAAACAGAAAATAATAATCTCCCCCTAAACCCTCCAATATAAAAACTACAGAATTCATAATTCATAGTATCTATAGTAATCTAAAAATCATTTTCCAATTTAAAACAGAGTACGTGCAAAGATACAAGAAAGTGTGACCCACGTGGAGGGAAAGAAGGACAATCAAAACCACTACTAACAATTCAGTCCAGAGAATGACGGCGTGTGTGGGCATACATACAGGTGTCATACGGTGCGTCCTGTTGTTCAGAGGCCCAAACTACAAACACGAGTGTCCACCCACTGGAGACAGACAAAAGAAACATGCATCTGCATAGGCCTATGTTCAGCAGCTAATGATATGACAAACTCAATAGCCCTTAGCTGGGACAAAGTATTTCCAACTTCAGATTGTAGATTTGGGTGTATTTACATAGATGTGAAACTGATAAGCATCCATAATCCAAAGTTTGAAATTTCCAAACTCTGAAGCTTTATGTCATGGGATCAGCATATTACCAATGCAAGACGTCAGAAATATTACACTGAGTGCAGAAAGTGGGGCACCGTGGAGGGGGAGCTGCCAAAGAGCACTGAGAAGCCGTGGGCAATCGGGATAACTCGGCAAAAATCACGTGAACTCTAAGAAGTGAGTGAAATTTGAATTTGAAAGGGAGGAAATTGGGAAAAGAGGAGTCTGTGGGACAAGAGGAGGTTGGGGGAGAAGAAGGGCATTAAACGGTATGCGATCTCGTTATGAAACAACCTAAGAAAGTGGGACCGAAAGATAAAGGAAATTGGGAAAAGAGGAGTCTGTGGGACAAGAGGAGGTTGGGGGAGAAGGGCATTAAACGGTACAATGCGATCTCGTTATGAAACCTAAGAAAGTGGGACCGAAAGATAAAGCATTAGAAGGTCAGAAAACCAATTACACATTCTTTGCCTCCACGTGAGCCTCTGAGCCAACGTTTCTTTTGTTTGAAAGGGTAAACATGGCAAGTCAAAATGCCCTGGAAGAAACTGGAATCTTTATGAGAAGCAAAAATATTCAGCGACTTCATAGATGTATAAAAAGCAACACACTGTGACTCAGACTCTAAAAATCTAAGAACAACAGACACAGTGAATTACTTTGGGAATAAAAAATGCTCTGACCACATGGCTGCATAATTTTTATTGTGATTCTTCATTTTCAAGAAGCAAGAAAAATTAACAAATGCCACTTTTTAATGACTGTACTACTCCAAGCACATGCACAAAGGCCTTTTTTTTCCATAGAAATCTTCTAAAAAACCTATTCACATTTCACAGAATCTTAGCAGCTTTGATCTGCTAAAAGGGCAGATTCTTTTTAGTCTGGATAAATTACTAAGATTACTGAACCTCAAGACAGCGCCCAAGCCAACCAACTTTTCAATTTTGAACAATTACTCGCCTGGCAATCAAGACACTCTGAGGCCACGTTACAGCATGGACAGGATCCATCCTGCCCATCCTGTCATGCAAGACTGTCCAGTACCACAATATGAAAATCCCATGGTCCCCATGGGATGCAAAATCACCCCCGCCTGGCAGCACTCTTTGGCCGCAGACTTTGGGTCTGTACCCTTTGCATGCTGTGTGTCTACCTCATCCAGATAAGGCCCTCTTCCTTTCTTTCCATCAGCCACATATTCCAGCAAATAAATGGTGACAAAAAACCACGTTGTTGAATCAAGTATGATCTAGGACCCAGGAAAAAAGTTTTATGTTAATTCTAATTTTAGATTATAACTAATGTCAGTAATTGTCCTAAATTAACAGCTGAACATTACACTTTTAAAAATAACTATGTCTATGCCTCTCTAAGATACGAGTGTCTAACCCTGTCTGTCATGCCATGCTCACTAGGAATTCACACCCCTCCTATTATGAAGAGTTTGGAAACTCCTGTGGTACTGGGGTAGTGTAGAACCAGAGAACACAGCCAGCCTCGCACATGGTTAAGGAGCCCAAGTCTGTCCTGGACTCTGGCCAAGCTAGACAGGCGACCTTCCGGAGCCAAGCCTTTCAGCTTCCTCACTGATAGGTGATCTGAATGAACTGTGGATTGCTAAGGCAAATGAGACCAAGAAAATTGTTACCTCTCCACCCAAGAAGTATGGGAACAGCAGTTCCCTGCAAATGGACCATTGTGTTTGGTTTTGCTTTAGGTTAAAGCTAACAAGTGTCTTGCGCGTATTTATTTGGGAAGCTTAAAATGTGTAATTTCCAAATATTTGGTTACCTGCATATCTTTAAGGACTGCAGAATATTTTTATTAAGAGCCACTCCTTTTAATTAGTGAAAGAAATCAAAAAAGGATGAAAAAATTTGTGTGTCCTGAACATCTTCAAACTCCTCAGGCAATGTCAAGATTTCTCAACTATCAACACATCTTATGGTTATGAAAGATAACAGTACTTTCTTAATAAAGTTTCTGATACAAAGAAGTAAGGAATGGGGCTCTGTGACATCGTCCTCATTGCTGTCAATGAAGGGAACACAGGAAAGCATGGAAAGAGCTGTATTCAATATAAAATTACCTGATGCTGAAAAACGTGGACTTCTGATCAAATGAAAATAAAATTGTACAAAAAAGCCACTTAGATAAATTTTTGCTTCAACTGACCTAGGTGCGATTCATCGTGGCATTTTTTGGATCTGTGATTTTATCCCCACATACCTCTAAAGAACAAACTGCCCGTCTGCTATTTTTTTTTCATGTAATACTGTATGCCTCACTCACGATGGCAAGCCAGCATAATGAACGTGTGATTTGGGGCATAGCTTATTCTTGTAACATTTTAATGATGGTATATCTCTATCCCTAAATTAATCTGTTATCAGGCTAAATCACTCTGAGTTCCTTCTTCTACAATCTGAAAGTGATCACGGCTTCCATTTCAATCGTGGAGCCCTAAATCTGGATTTACTTTTAGGCAGCTGGTTTATAAGTCTCTGGATATGCATAATTTCATAAAGTGATTGAAGTCATTTTAATATTATGTCAACAACAGCTTATATGGATACCAACCCCGAGCAATTTTTAAAGAGTCACATTTTACGTGTACCTTTCTCAAGCAGTTTGCCTTTGTAGACACAAAGGTTTTCTCCTCCACAGTGCTGTTGGTAAATCTTTATTTCATCTCGGTAGTCTGTGTCATCATAAGATAGGTGCACATTTTTCCCAAAGTAGACCATAGTGATAACTGCATTACTATGTGGTGATGCTTTATAAATCCGCGAGGAATCCTAGGATAGACGAAAAAAAAAAGAAGGAAGAGAGGGAGGAAGGCAGGAAGAGAGGGAGGAAGAGAGAGAGAGAGAGAGACTTATTAACTAATTGCATTTTTTCAAAACTATTCGTTTTTTTATTTCTGTACATATACGTGTGCCTGTATGTATGTATGTGTACCACAAGCCTGGAGGAGCCAGATGAGCCCTGGGGTCAGATGCCCTGGAACTGGAGTTACAGGAAGTTGTGAACTACCTTTGCAGGTCCTGGAAACTGAACTCGGTCCTCTGCAAAAGTGGCCAGTGCTCTTAACTGCTGAGCCATCTCTGCAGTCTTGTAACCTTCTCACCAGAATGCTTGTTCCCACATGACTTTGTAACATGGAGAACAGAAAAGTCTAGTTCTAAACACCTAGTAACAAAAAATTTTACACAGTGCGCAGAAGAGTCAAGGCCACCACAGCAATGTTGACACGTGTTGGCTCTGTGTCTGCAAATGACAGGGTGGAGAAAAGTTCGTCCTCTTCCATTTTGAGTTACTCTGTCTCCTCTCTCTCTCTCTCTCTCTCTCTCTCTCTTTCTCTCTCTCTCTCTCTCTCTCTGTGTGTGTGTGTTATATACAGTGAACATCAATAATTATAGGAGGAAAGTTTGACTCTCTTAGTTCTCAAACTTGAAATAATGAAAAAATCTTGATGTCATTGTTGTGAGTTGAAACTCCTCATGATGGTTTTGAAACTGACCAGCATATCTTTGTAAGTGAACAAAGACAGCAGATCCTCCTCTGGGTTCCTCTCTCTGAGGGGCATGAACATGCTCACTTCTTCTGGGGTTGCTCTAAGGACTCCTGACCATGTATGTCACCTGCTTGGGATTATCAGGTGGAAGTTTAATTGATGTCTGTAGTGAAGAGGACACCTGACTGACCGCTTTCGATTAATTCCAAGATTTGAAAGAAAAAGTATCGTAAATAAATTACATATTCAAGTGTGGGGATTACACAAAAGGCCCTGCCTGTCAGCCTGTGGGGTTGTTTACTTAACATGATCCGAATGAGGCCTGTCATCATGGACGTTTTATTTAACTGGCTGGCCTCAGTGGCTTCTTCTCTGGGGAAATCACATCCTTTTCTTAGATTTTTGTACATTTGATGTTAAATACTGAACAAAATCAATATCATATGACATGCTAAAGGCCCACTAAATAACAGATGTTGCTAGTATTGTCATTAAATATAAATTTCCATATTTTGTTATAGTTAGCAGAATGAGCACATATAATAGTAGGCAATTAAGTGAAAAAATGCAATAGCTGATTGGAAAGAGGTTGTATTTCTGGAGGCGAGACAGGAGATAACAGTATGGTGGGGTGACAACTAAGGGGAGGCCATTTGAAAGTTGGGGTCATTGGGCTGGAGATGGTGCATGGTTAAGAGCACTGGCTGCTCTTGCAGAGGACCTGGGTTCAAATCCCAGCACCCACTTGGCAGCTAACAACCATCCATAACCGTCCAGGGATCCGATGCCCTCTTCTGACCTCTGTGGGAACTGCATGACATGAGTGTACTTATATACATGCAGGTAATACACTTATACACATAAAATATTTTTTAAAAAAAAAGAAAGTTGGAGGTCAGTCAGAGGTAGTAGCAGAGGCTTGATGGGGCAAAAGTGAGATCCTGACTGTAAATGGAAGGCTCCTTCCTTTGATAAGTTGGGTTTGTGGGCCCATAACAGAAGTGTTCAGTGTGAAAGCACGCTGAGCTCTCTTCTTCAGGGTTTATTTGAGCTGTATTAGGTGGAATCCCCTAACCTGAGCAGTCAGTCTCACTTACTCCCTTTTAACCTCAACAACCTGCTTCCAGTCTGCCAGTTTCCTACTCACTGTGCGAAGTCAGCTCCAGGACAACCCTCTGAGGCCTCTGTGGTCAACTCAGACAGAACTGCTATGCCCTCTCTCTGGACAGGGGACCTCAGTGGGTTGTGTGGACAGGAGACTTCAGTGGGATGCATGGTTGTCTCTGGTGGTTTTTCTCAGGGAAACTCATTAGTCTTTTCCACAAAACGTGTAATAAATAAAAATAAGCTTTGTTTCATGTGTTTTTACTTGATCAAAATAATCATCAAGTGGATTCTTATGAGAACGCCTGCACTCTCACACTCCTTGTGGGACTGTCCCCAGTTCAGCAGGCTGACCCATGGTGAGTGTGACCAGTGAGGAGAGAGAGTCTCTCAACCACAGTCAGGCATGAAACTCCAGAAGTGTGTGACCCTCATGAAGTCTAATTAGCCTAATAGAATCTGCAAGTGCTGCAGTGAATTCAGACGATGTTAAATCCTGCGGACCCAGGGGCACCTGGCTGGACGTCTTCTCTCTTTTCCTTCTTTTTTCTTTCTTTTAAGTGTATTAGAAAACTCTAGTCATAGGCAGAGGAATCACCTTAATTTATAAATAAGTTACAAGAATCATCTCCCCTTAATGAATCCTTTTTGTATCTAAATAAAACAAATCCAAGCACTAAGGTAAAAGTGCCCAGCTGTCGGCTGTGCCTCGTGCCCCTGTGTCCAGAGAATCGAAGAGACGTAGGCAAGCAGGTGAGCCATCGGGAGGATGAGCCTAAGCAGACGCGCAGGTGTGGAGGCTGAGGGCTCTGGAGATGGTAGGAGTCCGGTGAAAACACAGTCAGGCGTGGGACAGGACGTGCAAGTAGCGGGGAGAAAGAGCTGGAAAGGTGGGAGTCCGGAAGCAAGGAAGACCAGGAGAGCTGCGCCCACAGAGGCAGATCAAGTAAACCAAACACCCCTCCACACACCATCAGGCCACACTGACAGGGGGCCACGCTAGCCACTGAACAGATATCCATGCTGAACCAAACAGAAGACACCTACCTACACGCAACACATGGCTTTAAAGCCCAGACTTCAAACTATACGTGCTAAAGGGCTAAAGGTAAAATAAACACACAAATAATACCTATGTATTATTTTCTGTGTGTGTTACACAGTTTTTAAGACAAGAGGTAATGAGATGTATTTATAATTCTTTTTCAACGATATAGGATTCTACAAATAAAATAGTCCTAGATCTGAAAGATGCAAAAGTATCACGAACATTTACAAAACTGAACCTGACACAGTTACAAAGAGAAATTTGCAAGCCTGCAGTTTTCATAGAATGAATCATCATTATAGTTCAGGAGCTGAGAGAGGAAACAACTGAAAGAAATCTAATGATGTAAAAATATGAATGACACAAGTCATTTGGTAGCCATTTATAGAGCCTCGATCCCCAGATTTAAGAATCCATGTTTTCCAAAAGCAAAGAAAATCTCCACAAATAACAAAGAATTAAAGTTTCACTGAATAACAAGATGCTTGTTAAAAGTATGTCCTGTGAACACAAAAGATCAGAATTTAAATACAGCAGCAGAAGAGAAATCTCAAAAGAATGTGCGGAAAATAAAACTGAAGAGTTTCCAACGTGAAAAGCAGCAAGAAACCTGAGATCATCGGAAAACCAATCAGTCTAGAAGTTCAGCCTCACCAAGAGGAGTTCCCTAAAGAAGAAACCTGGGGGGGGGGATATGCACATGTGTGCATGTGTCTGTGTGTGCAGGAGGGTGTGTTTGCATATGTCTATATGTGTATGTGCATGTGTGCATGTGTGCCTGTGTGTGCATGTGGGTATGTTTGTATCTGTGTGTATGTGTGCATGTGTGTATGTGTGTATGTTATGTGTGTGTGGAGGAGGGGGAAGGGGGGAGATCATAACAAAGTTATAGTAAATATTTTCAATAAAATTTCCCAAACCTAGAGAAACAGAGGCCCAGCCAAGTACAAGAGTCTGCAAATAGGACCTGAAAAGAAACTCACCATGACATATAATTAAAACAGTGAAACACAGAATAAAGAAAGGGTACTGAAGGCTCAGGAAAGAAAGGACAAGTCACTTATAACGTTGACCTCTCAGAATAATACTTGATTATTCGCATAAACTTTTAAAGTCAAAAGGTCCTGGAAAGATGCATTTCAAATTCTGAAAGATCACACCTGTGGTCAAAAGCAGACTATTATAAAAATGCCGCTGTCTATTAAAATTGAACGGAAAATTTTAAAATTTCATGATAAAAAGAGACTAAGGTAATTTATGAGCACTAAGTCAGTGCTACAGAGGATACTAAAAGAAACATTTCAGTCTGAAGACAAGGGTAAACATACCTGTGAGGTCACATGGAACAAATACTACCAGGAGGGTTAATCAAAAGAGATCTAAGAAGGCACCAGAAAAATCAACAAAATGGCAGGAAGTAATACACATCTTTCACAAAGCTGAATATTAGTGGTCTCAATTCCCCAATAAAACATCAGACTAACAGAATGAATTAGACAAGAGGATCCAGTGTTTTGCTGCCACGAAGAAATGCAGCTCAACATCAGTGACAGATCACACCTTAGGGAGAAAGACAGAAAAGGCATTCCAAGAAAACTAAACGAGGAGACAAGCAGACTTGGCTACTCTAATATCTGAAAAAATAGACTTCAAATCGAATGTAGTCAGAAGAGATAAGTAAGGCCATTTCCTACTCAACAAAGGAATAATCCACCAAGAAGATATTATGATTCTAAATATATACGTACCAAACACAGGTATATTCAGCTTCATAAAAAATACTCCTTGATATAAAACCAAAGATTAATCTCCACACCCCACTCTTACCAGTAGACACATCACCCGGACAGAAACTAAACAGAGAAACATTAGAGTTAAATGACATCATAAGCAAACGGACCCAACGTATCTACAGAACATTCCATCCAAACCCTCAAGAATATACATTCTTCTAAGCAAATCATGGAACTTTCTCCAAAATTGACCAGATATTAGGACACAAAGCAAGTTTCAATAAATTTAGGAAAATTGAATAACATTCTGTATTCTCTTGACCACAATGGAATAAAGCTATATATCAATAGTGTAAAAATACAGAAGGTACACAAACTCATGGAGACTAAATAATACACCACTGAATTATAACTGGGTCACTGAAGAAATCAAGGAGGAAATTCTTTGAAAAGACTTGCAAGATTAACAAACCCTTAGCCAACACATCCGAAAGAAAGAGAAGACCTAAATCAGTAAAATTATAAATGAAAAGGGAGACATGATGACAGGTACCGATGAAATTCAGAAAATCGTAAGAACAGACCTTACAAACCTTTATTTCACTAAATTGGAAAATCTAAAAGAAATTAATTTCTAGATACATGAGACACAAATCAAAATGAGATAAATGATTTAAATTGATACATAACCATAGATGAGACTGCGGCAGTAAAAAATAAAATAAAACATCTCCCAGACCAGATGGGTTCACTGTAGAATTCTATCAGACCTCTGAAGAAAACCTAACACCAATACTACTCAAATTATTCCAAGAAATAGAAAAGGCAGGCTTTCAAATACTTTTAATGAAGCCAGTATTACCCCAATGCCAAAACCAGATAAAGCCATCACACACACACCCACACAAAAAAAGAACATTACAGACTGATGTCCCTAATGAACAGAGATTCAAAAATTCTCAACAAAATGCTGGTAAGCAGGGGCTGGAGAGATGGCTCAGCAGTTAAGAGCACTGGCTGCTCTTGCAGAGGATGCGGGTTCAATTCCCAGCACCCATATGTGGCTATGAACCATCCTTAATTCCAGTTCCAGGGGAATCCAAAGCCTTCTTCTGACCTCCATGGCATTACACAACACGGGTGCACTCACATACATACAGGCAATACACTCCTACACATGATATAAAAATAATTAAAAGTGCTGGTAAACAAAATTCAGGATCACATCAAAAATATCATTCATCATGATCAAGTTGGCTTCATTCTAGAGATGCAGAGATGGTTCAAAATATCCAAGTCAATAAATGTTAATCATCACATAAAAAGACTCAAAGGCAGAAATCACAAGATCATCTCAATTGATGCACAAAAGGTCTTTGACAAAATTCAACATCCATTCATGATCAAAGTAAGGATGGAGCACATATACCTCAACATAATAAAGGCTTTATACAACTAACCTACAGCCAACATCTTGCTAAATTGAAAAAAACCCAGTGGTCCCACTAAGATCAGGAACAACACAAGGGTGTCCACTCTCTGCACTTCTACGTAATATAGTACTTGAAGTCTGAACTACAGCAATAAGATAAGAGAGGGAAATAAAAGGGTTACAAACAGGAAAGATCCAACTATCCATACTTGCAATGATATGACACTACACATAACAAACCCCAAAGACTTCACCAAAAACTCAATAAACACATTCAGCAAAGTGGCAGCTTATAAAATCTATACCCAAAAATCTCATATACCAATGACATGTTGAAAAAGAAATCAAGGAAACAATCCCATTCACAATAGCCATACAGAAAAAGTCAAATACTAGGAAAAAAAACCTTACCAATAAAATGAAAGACTTCTACAAAGAAAACATTAAGACACAGAAGAGGACATTGAGGAAGACTTTAGAAGATGGAAAGATCCCATGCTCATGGACTGGAAGAATTAATATTGTGAAAATGACCATCCTAACCAAAAGTCATCTACACAATGAATGTAATCCCTGTCAAAATTCCAGGGCCACTCTTCACTGATAAAGAAAAAACAATCTCAAAACTTATACAGAGGCATACATAAAGAAAGACAGCCAAAGCATTCTTGAAAAGCAACAACAGCAAAACGGTGGGAGGTGTCATCATATCTGATTTCAAATGTTCATCAACTGATGGATAAGGAAAATATGGCCCATGTACACAATGGAATATTATGCAGTTGTTAAAAAATGAAATCATGAAATTTGCAAGAAAATGAAGTAGAAAAGATTATACTCTGTGAGACCACCTGGGCTTAGAAAGACAAATGCTTTACACTCTCCTTTGTGTGTGGATTCTAGCTTTGAGTCTTTAGATTTGTATGTTTTTGACTTGCAGTACATGTGGAAGCTGGGTAACTAGAAATGCGCCATTGGGGACAGACCCATTAAGGTAGGAATATATATATATATATTTGTAATGTGTGTGTATGTATAGTGAAAGTGGAGAGGAAGAATACTTCCCACTGTACTTAAATCCATCAATTTTCATTAATTAAATGTTAAGATATTCTGAAGAAACAAATGAAGGGAAATAAATGATTTGGAAATCAGAGTAATTCAAACTAAATTTGACCGCAAGGCTTAACAAGTATATCATCAATTGTGCAATATTAGTTTTCCAATTGACTTACTTAAATGTTTGTTTGATTCATTTACATTCACAATGATACTTAGTATATTTCTCTATGCAGTGCTTTTTTGTGCATTATTGCAGCAAATTCTACTACAGGACTAGAACTCTACTGGTGTGATGTAATTAGCATTAAATAAAAGAAAACTTCGATCCATCATCACCCTGGTGAAGAGAGGCTCGGAGCCATTTGGAGCAGCGATGGGATGGAACCTCTTCCTCCTCCAGGCCTCCTGTCCGTTTTCCCGGACGGTCTTTCCAGCTCGGGGAGGGGGTGGAGGGGGAACAGGTATCAGGTAACTGTTGATGTGTGGAAGTTGACAGGAATCTGCCCTCTGTGGACTGTCCAGCGAGCTCCTGAACTTCATCATTGCCATCTTGCTCTGTAATCAATCATATTTCATGACATAAGAACCAACGACACAGAGGCAGCACCCCAGGGTGACCCCAAATTAAAGGCAAGCTTGGGAGATCGACACTTCATAGAAACCCAGCTGATAACAGACCAACCCAAAACACTGCAATAGGCTGAAAATGACCTTGTATATCCACTGCAAATTCAATAACCATAAATTCCTAACCTCACATGAGTGTGGTTTTAAGAGAACACAGCGGGTAACCCTCATAGCATTTCAGGGATTTTTTTTACCCTCAACAATCCACTGAGTCTTTGTGGAACTCGTACATTTAATTTCAAATCATTCTCCAGTAAGGTTGGACGGTGCCCTGGGTGAATCAGAGTTAGGACCTTCTCGATGCTCTGACCTCATCCATCCAGAGGTTGGAATAGGGAGGGTGTGACAGATGCACCTGTGCACTGTTCAGATCACCTCAAACTGGAATATTTATCAAAATTTTAGAGAGACTGTTCTTTGATCCAGAACCTTGACAAGTGGAAATAAATCTTACACGGAGGGTTACGCCAGTATTGATTCACTAGTGTAAACATGCATTTGGGCACACGCATGCATGTGTGTGTATATTTATATAATATAGATAAGTGTGTATACACATATATATCAAATTTAACTGGATCATCAAGAAACTTAACACCCAGAAAGTACATACATATTATTAAATTTTGCTTTGTTTCTATAATTATAGATTCTCACTGGGCTATAGAAATGTGAATGTATTAATACTGACATAACAGTCCAGGTAGTGTGATATTACATTTTTATGTGGAGTTTGATTAGAAAGCAAGAGTAAATGGAAACTTAAACATGGAATTATTTGTACAATGTATCTTTACTGCTGCTTAGCTGTTAACATTGCATTGTGTGAGGGTCTTTCCCTTTATTCCATTTTCTTTTTCTCTGCAACAGATTGCATCGAGACCAGAATGCCATGTCATAAACAAGTGAACGTAGCAGGAATACTGAAATCAATAAATCTAGAACATTGGGAATTTGGAAAATTTTAACAATTGTTTTAGAGGATAAATAGACTGACTAGGTACCAATCAACTGCTTATTGTGTTTAGAAATGGTTTGGTACTTTTTTATTTAACATCTTGTTCCTGATCTCTTTCCTACTTAGCTAGCAGTGTCTTAGATAACTTTCTATAGCATTACATACGATTCTGCTGTGCTTTACGTGCGCTGACATGTTAAACAGCACTCTAATATTGGTCTTCTTGGCTGTTCACCATTGTAATGATGACAGTTCGAAATGTTCTGGACTCAATTCCTGGGCACATAAGCACATATTTTTGGATAGACTCCTACATGTGAAAACACTGGGCATGTTCGTTTAAAAAGGTGCTAGATCTCCTGAGCAGTTCCTTTACAGCCACGCCAATTTCTAGTCCCACCAACACAATAGGAGAAACTCATTCTGAAGGCGTACAATTTTAGTCACGTGATTCGTTTTACTCAGCGATATCACAACCAGTCTGTTTCTGACCAGATCCCTTTTCCTAAAGATACTCACTCCTGCTGCTATGAGTTTAACCTGATTCAAACTTTTGCGCCTCCTAACACCACCTGCCTACCTTTCACCTTCCAGTAGATTAAGCAGCATCTGCCCAGGGCTCCGTGCATGTTCCGCAACCACACAGACTCCTATATTTCATGAGGAGGCTCCTGTCATGATTCCACACTTTTCTCATCAATGCCTCTAGCAAAACCTGTCTATCCTCACAGTATACTTTTCTCTCACATACTAGAGTATAATCTCCAACAAATTATCTTTGACCTCCTTGATAAGTAATATAGCACCAGTTCTTGAATCGGTACCTAGCCTATAAATGCCCAGAAATATTTACCAAATGAGAATTGAGTTTCGCTCATTGAAACTAAAATGACGTGAATCTCCATCTTGCAGTACATGTGAGCTTCCAAATGCCTTTTCCATCAATAACCCAAAGCCCCCCAAAAACTTGGAAACAGGAAAATAAGGTTCTATATGGACTTAGCTAGCAGTAGTTGCATGTAGTGTCTCACAGTAAATGTGGAGAAAAAAAAAATTCTCCCTAGGCAGCAAAAATTTGAGCATCATGTGATAAGCGGTGTCCTCATACCCAGAAGGAAATGAAGCAAAGTAAAATTCATAACTATAGAAGCTTAGAAAGAATGTAATCACCTTGGCAAACATGCCAAGTACTCATTGGAGCACTGTCTAAGGCACAGGAAATCCTACCCATTGGGCTTTGAGTACTTCCAGTCCTAATGGCAAAGCTAACCCAGGAGGACACAGAGAGTTTTAGCCAAAGACCTATGTGTTTTCTGGTACTTTTGGCAAGCCCATTCCTAAAATGAGACAGACACCTCAGGCCACCTTAACCTAATCTAGGAACACTGAGTAGAACCATAGCCCTATTCTGATTCCATGGTTGCCAGGCAGTCATCTCATTATGACCTCTCGCCGTCCAGGCGGCTCTGCCCACCAGGGAAGATGGCACTTTCCCTATGAACTTGGACCATTTGACATCTCCTGGCCCAATTTTGACAAGTCTCCTACTTGGGATTGCTACAAAGAGACAAACAGCCCTTCATCACTTTACTCACCCTGGGACAATCTCCCAGGACCGGGCCATCCCTGGACACTGGCAGAAATGGAAAGCGTGTGGACCTTGCACCTGAGACTAGATCTGAGACTTAGGAACCTGCCTAGCTCTGAGCCATGTTCTCAAGACAGGGAGCCAGCACTTCTCCGTTAAGTTCTGCTTCCTAGGAAACTAACATTAAATTAACTGAAATAAGGTGTGTAAATTGTTCTCACAAGCTAAAAATCTCATTAAGTGGGTTTGTATTTTAGAGTTACATTTCTCTTTTTACTATGAAACATAATCATTTGTTCATCTCTAAGGATGCTATTTGTTAGTTAAGGAGGAAAATGGCCTCAGTTCATAGATATTGTTCCTCAGTAAGTGTTGAAACATGTTCACCCTTAGTGATGATTACGTTCATGACACAGGTTCCTAAGCTAGCGAATGTTTCTGCAAGTTAGAGATGCGAACACAACCTCCTTAGTGAGTGAACGGCCTGGCTGGTCCTCCACTTAGTTAACTCTTCTTTCACAGTAGCCATACCTGTTTGTGCCCCATTTAAATGAGGGAAGATCCCCCAGAACACCAGCCTTAAAGGAAGCTGCATCAAGATCCTGGCTGTGATGAACACAGCACATTTGAACAAGGAAGATTCCTCCTTTGCTTCTGCAACTCAGCATCTGAGAGTCAGCCTCAAAGTAATTTCAGACACTGGTGGGAAAGCCAGTCAGCATGCAGATGTAGGCAGAGCCACGCAAAGCCCCATTTCCAAGTCTCCTGCATTTAAACCTGGAAGGAGTCCACGCCAGGTCATTTCTGGGGGAAGTCGTGTGGCTGTGAGAAGTCTTTCCTCTGTCAACTGGCCTTTCAATTAACACTGCAGGTACTACAACTCCACCCTATACACATTTATCTCAATTACGCAGAAATGACAGACCTTCCAGTAAGAGTAAGATATAGCTAATCATGAGTACACAATGAGTGCTTAATAAGTGCATGGTATAATTTTACTGAGTAGATGAATTGAACATGATATCTTAAAAACTTTGATAGCTTGATATTCTAATAAAGAATTTTTTAAAGGTATTTCTTGAAGAAAATTGCATTTACCCCAATGGGAAATGGAGCTTCACTTTCCAGCAATGAGGCTTTGGGTTTGTACCCTGAAGTTATCTTTGAAACATTTCTCCTTGTGCGATTAGCGAGAAGAGGCTGTAATCCAATCGGAGGCTGCATACTTCCTGGGGCAGTATATGGTCGAGGGGCTGTCTAGACAATTAGGAAAAAAAAAATCCCATTTGAATTAGTATCTTGACATGTTTCCAGAACCAATTAATAACCCAACAAATTGCCTAGAGTAATTAATGGTGCCTTTTTACTGAACAGATTAAACTTTAATTATATCCCTCCATTATACAAACCCTTATAACCTCAAGTATTTGTTAAAACATATGGTACTGAAGTCCTCTACCTAACCAAATGTCACAGTTACAGAGTATTCTAGACTGAGGAGATGTTCTCTATTATATTTCCATTTTTTTATTCATACTATAAACTCTTGACAATGCTTAATTTATGCTATGCAGAGAATGGCTCTGCTCAATTAAGTGTTAAGTTGAATAATGTTCCTACTTTATAGATCTGAAAGGATATTATTGGAACAGGCTCTTTCTGTTTCATGTTTTCAATATGAACTCCTTAAGCCATAGGTTTGGCACCAAAAGTAAAAGCAGTCAACAGGCAAGGCAGGCGTTCAGCTGAAACACACACGGTGACAACTCAACTGCTTCCTAAAACTGCAAGAAGCAAAAGTGAAAAAATGTCCCTGACAACTTTGGAATGCACTGCACAAAAGTGGGTGCTTTCCAGTTTCCCATTCAAGGCTCCAGTCTGCCTCCTCCACTGAGCTCTGGGCCCTGGAAGTCATTCATCTAAGAAGTGACCAACCAACCTGTAAATGGGAATGACAAGAGGGACTGGAAGCAGAGCTGGACAGACTGGAGGCCTTTATTCCCCTGGACTCACTCCCGAAGGGTAGGAAGGGATCCCTGGACCTAAGATCCTTCCTAGCTTCAGGTCCTACCTGCTGCTTTTAGAAGCCAGCCTCTCCCTCTCCCACTTCTGCAAGGAGCTATGGCTTCCCATAGTGCTGACCCCAGCAGGATTAGCATCCCTAGTGGTTTTTCCCTCACCCCTGCTGCCTCTTCCTAAATAGTTTCTTTATTAAACACTTCCTAATTACTCTATTTGTATGAGCCATCTGTTTCCTGCTGAGCCCCCAACTGAGACACTTTCCAATCCAGAATGTACTGCAGTGAGCACAGAAAGTATCAGCACAGAACATGATAAGTGCCTTTGGGGTATCAACAGAATACTATAGATTCAGTATGAAGATTAGCAATGTGTCAAAAGTGGGCAAAAATGAAACTTTGGGCCCAGTTGTTCTATTACAATAAAATAGTCAAAACATGTCAAGAATAAGACATACGTACTCAAAAGGATACGAGTGGATGGTATAGAGATGATTCCCAAAAGAGATTCATACATTGAGTCTAAAGACTGATGAACCACAATTATTCCATTCTACAAAAGTGTGTGTTAATCTTGTCGAGCCAGATCCTGCAATCAAATGCTGGTCCTCTACCATCTTCAGAAGCCTATGCCCATGTTGCTAAACCTGGTATTCTACAATCAGCAAATACTGAATCTCCCGCCCAGGCCCAGCAAGGAGAACAAGGTAATTTTTAACACCAGTGATACCATCAGTCAGGCCCAAGGAGTCATAGCCATACTGCCCAACAGTCAGTCACAACAAAACACTAGAGAACTGGACTTAGAAGCGCTCTTCGAATATTTACAGTAAATCCAGGAGGCTAACCAAGATTAAAGCTTTGCGGGAGCCATGAGATTTTCACCCTAATGGGGAAACAACAGGAAAACAGGAGAAAGGTGAACTCGAACGTCCAAGTGAGAGCGTCAGCTCTGAGCTATAGAGAGCAGCAAAGCCCACAGTGCCCAGTTTCTGTTTCCCTTGCTTCGGGAGTGACAGAATTTTCATTTGGGACATGGCTGACCTAAATAAAGAGTCTGTTTCCAGAGTTCCCTATGACTCTGTGCAGAGACAGGGCCCCCACTGCAGGGCAATCAGATGTGAACAGAAGGGATTCACAAAGCTGCCAGCTCTTGCTCACAGAGAAGAGGGGCCTTACTTTCCTGCTGACACCTTCCCTCATGATGGAGTATCCACATGACGACTGGCTACCCTGCCTAGTGTGGCCGAAGCAAGTCCCTCAGGCTGGTGGATGAGTTAACACAGGAGGAGTCTGGGTGTCTGATGACTTCATAGAGTCAGCTGAGACTCAGTACCAATGCTGGGTGGGCAAGAGCCCCCATGGTAAGCCATTGTTATCTGGTGTCTGTTATGGTTTGGATGTGAGATGCGTCCCACAAGCTGGTCTGAGCTGGAGGTGCTCTTTGGGGTGTTTTATGACACCTATGGGAGGTAGGACCTGGGAGGAAGGAGTTTACTCTGAAGGTGTTTATGGACCACCCTCCTTTCAGCTCTTTCTCTGTTCTGACAGCTGTGAGGACACCTACTGTGTGCTCCCTCTTCCTTGCCTTGAGGGACTCTGTCCCCTCAAGCCACAAACAAGCATCTCCTACTTCAGTTGTTTCTAGAAGGTATTTCCTCCCAGCAACACAGACAGTAAGGTGTGCGGAGTGTCTATAAAAATTGATCGTAAGTAGCACAGGGAGTTTAAGTGAAGCAGGGTGAGGTTCAGAGTGAACCAGTTAAGTCTATACATAGGTCTTGAAATCCACATACAGGAATTAAGTAGACGCTTCTAGACAAAGGACTCGCAGCACCCAGAATTCTGTGGACTCTCTTAGACAAGTATGCATCAGACATTCCTGTCCCAACAACCCAGCTGAATACAAAAGCATAAGAAGTATCTTGTAGAAACCCAGGACAGCGGACTCCCACAAACTAGAACATGATCGATTGGCTGCTGTACCCTCAATTTTACTTCCGTGCATTTGCATACAAATATCATTCAGTTAGATGAATGTCACAGTCAAATGTTTAACTGATTGCATTTATCTCTGAAAACAAATCTGGCCCGTTAACTAACAGCTGTGAGCTCCAAACTATGGTAGTTCATATCAAAAGCTACCTTAAATGTGCTGTGTTTTAAACTGTGTGTAATAAATTTTCTTGGAATAAATATGGCGCTGTTGCATGGCATCCTTGAAGCTGCTCGGGAATGTGAATTGAAATCTCAGAGGATCTCCCTGGGAGCACAGGATTGTTTGAGATGACTTTCCTCAGTTTTAACGGTAGCAGTGTAGCTAAATGCCTGTGTGGTATTTTGAAAGTTCAGGTGCAATTAACAAGGAAACAACTGCATGAACACTCATTAAAACCTTCTTAGTCAATTCAAGGAAGGTTAAAGAAAAGCAGTGACATCCCATAAAGATTCCTGTCTTCATCTGGGGTGTATGGAGGTCGGGCGAGAAACAAAGATGTGTTCAAGATGGGGTGGGCAAAGCAAAAGGGCTTTGGCAGGAAGGGCAGTTCTAAGATCTCAGTAAGATGCACACCAAGGGTGACCATGTGACGGCCCTGTCCTGGAAGGGGAAAAGGCTTTCGAGGTGTCAGGCGGATGTCTGTGTTGCCTGTCATTTTTAAATGACCCCTCACTCCTGCCACATGCGATCTCGGGATTGCATCATAAACTATTTGCTGAGGGAGTTCAGCTGGAAAATTGAAAAGAAAGCTTTTTTAAAGGGTTTTTCCTCTCTGAACCAGGTAGGAAGGCAGAAAACCTCACTTGAATGTCCTCTTTGTGTCACCTGGGTAAAGTCTGGAACATCCTGGTGAGCTACCATCCAACAAAAATGTGATTGTGTGTCGATACCTACATTCAAGTCAGACCTGGAAGGAGAGACCTACCCGAGGGAAAATGGTGGCTTTTCAACAAGCAAACCGCTCACCAGGAAATGCCAAAAGATAATTCCCTTAATGCCACAGACAATGAGCTTGCCTCAACAATCTAAAAGCATTGTAATCGCTCTACAAACACTGTGCAATGTAAAAATCATTGTTCAGACTAATGAGGAAATACATTAGGTCATGCAAACCAAGGGTAAAGATGTCATTGGGCAATTTACCACAACCTCAGCCAACAGCAGCCAGCAAGTATTTTGGAAATCTTTCCTGACTCTGTATTGCTTCAAAGAACCTTTGCCCTTCTTCAAGCAAGAGCTGCCCCTGGGTTAGAAATGAAGCATGATGAGATAAAATATCAATGTAGGATTTCTTCAGATGCAAGTTATGCACATTTATTTCATCTTAAAATATATGTGTGTGCTTTGAATAAAAGGAGGCCAACATGTAGCACGTACTGTTGAGTGTATTAGCAGAAGGGAACACAAGGATACCGGAAGTCAGGAAATGTAGAGTGTGTCTGGAGTGACTAGTGTCTCAATTCCTCCGCATTGTGGAGTACTAAGGGGCAATTTAGGAATAAATAACTGAACTAACCTGAAATAGCTAACTTGAAGTCATGATGTTTGTGATCTTAGCTGCCAGGTAGAGCTTGTCTTTTCTGTAGCTAAAAGAGAGCCAGGAGAGGTATCTGGGCTTGTAACATTAGTGATCTTCACATTAGAAACTACAGTAAGCACACAGTTTGGCTGCAGTGATTTTGCCTGGGGGGTGGGGGACATTCAGTAGAGACTGTTGAACGATGTGAGACAGTGAGTTTCATATCTTCTTTTTGACTATATTTTTCTGTCCGTGGGATTATTCAGACATGTCTCTCAGAGCAGTCTTTCCGAGATTAATGAGAAATCATAAATTAATTAGCCAGGACAGAGTGTTTAATAGGGCTCACCAGTGTTAATGGACTGGAATGTCCTTGGTCAGCCAGAACGCTGTGGCCACGGTTAGTCTTTGGGCCAGCTGGGGGGTGGGGAGTTAGGATGGGCATGTTATCTTCAATAAATCGTCTTGTGTGTTCTCCCTGGAATGAAAAGAAAGATCCGTGAAATCAATGCATAGCTGCTCATCCAGGTTAGCATAACACCTGACACACTCATGCCTGACTATGAGACCGTGTTCTTCTTGCCCCCCTTCTGTGTAATGGTGTTCAAGTTGGCAAGAGCCCCCAGCCCTCTCAGGGAGCTGGATGTTGTGGTGAGAGGCAGAACATGGAATCCTTGCTAGCTGTACACAAATCGTCTAGGGGCAATGATGTTTATTAAGCCACTATAAAATGCCCATGCTTTTCACTACTCAGTAGACTTCCCAAAGAGTGCTTTCCTGTACTCAGATGCCCTTAAGCCAGAGAGTTCTCATATCAAATAAAGGGAACCCAACCATATTTTTCTCAGCTGCAGATATGGAAATTTTCAACAAGTAGGTATCAAATGGGAGGAATTGGAGTGTCTGTAGCCTATTGCCTCACAGCCTAGTCTGTTCACACAATGGCTTCCTGCTCCTGCATGGCTGGTGAGGGACAGACACAGAGCCCAGGCAATGGGACTCGCTCTCTATTTCCAGTCTCCATTTTCTCCCTCATCATTTTCTCAGAAAAATTATAGACTGTAAATCAATCCTTAATACAGGGCAATATCAGCCTGCTAAATGAGCAAGTCTAAACACCAGCTCCTCTGGTTCCTTTTTAAAAAGGGAGTCATCTTCTGTCATTTAACACTTTGTGGACAAGATTATCTTTTGAGCCCAATAAAGCAGATTTGAGTCCTTCAAGCCAGAGATAATTTCAGTCTTACTAGGGCATGTTGCCCTGCAGACAGTTTACAAATGCATATCAGTTTGTGAAATGTGCCTTAAAGCGGCACATTTGTAATACTATACAGAAAATTAAGAACGAATAGCTCATGATTTCAAACAGCTCAAGAAATCAATTAAAACTGCCATCCCAAACTGAAACTTTTCAGATATGCTTAATTGAATCTCTCATCTCCTGACTGAAATTGATACATTTCATAAGTTTGCTTCAAAGAACAAAAATAGAACATAAGTAATGCTTTTAAAAATACCCTGCACAGAATGTTAGATCTTATCATGCCTTCTTCGGCTAAGGAAGATCATTCCCTCCATGATTTTTAAGGGTGACATTCTCATGAAAATGTGTGATTGTAGAATTCTTAAAATGTCCTGTTCTTCATGTTAGAACATTACCATCTATTTTTATTTTCTTAAGATACATGAATATCCTTTGGCCTCTGCTGCAAGAAAATACAAAAGCAAGATTTTAAACTTGACTATTTTCAAGTTTGTCTTTGAAAGGTTTTTGGCTTGTTAAAATTTATTTCACGGGGACAGCTCATTTATCATGATGTCCTGTGACAGTCAAGATTCAGGCACAGTCAAACCATTATTTCACCCTGGCTGTGTGCTGCCCCAAAGTAGAGTACCTCGAGGGACTTCAATAACAACACTGTTTTTTGAAATCACAAAATAATATTACAAAGTGAAAGAAAGGTTTTGGCACCTCACCTTAAACCTCTGAATTCGCTCTCTCCTAGCCAAGCCCTCCAGTTTCCTCTTTATTTCAAGCTGATGGTAACGCTGTGGAAAGAAAGCCACCTCAGTGAGAGCTAAGGATATTTTAGAGGAAAATAATCCCAATAGCACCCACTCTGGTCTCAATTGGCCCTCTTGTCATTTAGATGGCAAAGAATCACCTGCATAAGTGTGCAGGTGGGGCTATCAATGGCACTGCGCTTTGGGAAGCCAATTACAAACACATCTTAGCTAAAAGTATTCATACCCTTTAACCAGTCAGCTCCATCCCCAGACCTAAGAAGAAAACAGAATAATGACTTCTAAGTGCCTTATATAAAAAGATGCTATCTGAAAGGGTCTCCTCCTCCTCCACACCTCCTTTTCTTCAAAGGAAAAAAAATGCAACAGCAGCATAAAATTTGAGACTAGTTAAATGCTTAAAGCATCCTGTGCTGGAACAGAATGTAATCGTTAGAATAAGGTTCCTAACAATTGTGATTTTTGAAAAATGGAAACTCAAGGTAATGTATGAGAAAGCAAAATACAGAATGGCACAGAATTACAGTAACTAATGAACCCTCTGCTGCATGTCTGTCCCAATGGCAGGAAGGTGCTTTCTGTATATTTTTTAATTGAATGACTTTTGTTGCTAAGCGGTCCCATTTCACAAGCAGAGAAACTGAAGCAGAGGATCGTAGACTTGCACCTAGTCAGCTCTGGAGTTATAACTTCCACTTTGGTGGAACTCACATTAACTTCCTAGTCCCTGATTGCCACAAATCCATGCCCCGCTCACCATATATTACAGTTTTCTTTTCTTTTTTAATCTTTATTTTATGTGTATAATTGTATTGCCTGCATGTATATAAGTGCACTCATGTCCTTTAATGCCCCTGGAGGTCAGAAGAAGGCACTGGATTCCCCTGGAACTGGACTTACAGACAGCTGTGGGTCCTGAGAATTGAACCCAGGTCCACTGCAAGAGCAGCCAGTGCTCTTAACCACTGAGCCATCTCTCCAGTCGTTTTCTTTTTTTATTTACTGTTTATTTATTTACTTATTTGTGAGACAAGGTCTTGAAACAGCCCAGTCTTGTCTGGAACTTGATATATAGCCCAGGATGGCTTCAAATTTATGATAATCCTCCTGCCTCAGTCTCTCGGGTGCTAAAATTAGACATGCCATGGCCGAACCATGATTTTATTGATAAAATAAATAGGATTAGAGGAAACTAAGAAGGAATGCATACTAACAGGAGCTATCTCCGAGAGCAGAAAGCCTGTGTGATTATTTTTCTTTATGGGGCTTTGTTATCCAGTTTTCCTGTGACATGATAGATTTATGATTTAAAAATAAACCTCCCATAAGAATGATCGGTTTCCAATTAGATGTGAAATCATTCATAAGCATTTCAGAGTGTTCTGTTCACTGTTCCTTTGGGGAAATGCTTTTGCCCTGGTTTTGGGCCTTGGCTGAATACCTTGGCTGAATCTACTTCCCCAAGGCCTTCAGAGTCTCCTTGACCAAACCTCACTGCACTTTTTCCAGTACCCACCATAGTTACTCTACAGTGTGTAGGGTTTTGAGTCTCCTGGCTTCCAGGGAATCAACCTAGGAGGCTTGTGCTTCACCACTGACAAGTTGCCTTCCACTCCCACCTCACCCCCCACCCAGCAGGCGAAGCCTGGGTCGCTCGCGCCTCACAGTCTCGCCCACTCTTGCTCATTTAGTCCCTGAAGCTTTCTCCATCGCCAGTCTCCCAGGCAGCTGCATCTCACATTCTCCCGGCTGCTATTAGCCGCTCCCTATGGCAACAGCTTCCTAATTGACCTCCCACCTCCAATCCTCTCCAGCTCATTAATCCGTCTTCCACATTACCAGCAGTAGTGCTTCTCTACGGCTCTGCTCATTTATTTCACCCTTCTGCTGAAAAACATCCCATTGCATCATCACCGACACTGCAGGCCAACTTGAGAATTTAAAACCAGGGACAAGGCCCCAACTTACAGGATAGTGTCACTTCTGCTGACCAACCGTCTGAGCAGTCTGGCCTCAGAGAACCTCCCTTCTATACAGTGTCCAGCGCACCTGCCAACCTCTTCCCCTGGAACTGCTTTCCTGAAATCCTAGCTTACTCTGTGCATCCTACTCTGTGCATCCTACTCTGATCCCTACAGAGGAAGGCCCTGCCTTTCTCCATGGTGTTCAGGTTGCCAGCTCCGGCTTCTCTGCAGCACGTGTACACTACTTTTATAAACCGCGTCTGGCAGCTACTGCACGGGGCATTTGGAAAGTCTGCAGTTACTGTTCGTTGCCTCAGTGAATGTATGAACATATATCTACATAGTAGTAGAAACCACATCAATATAAACTAAATGGAAGACGATTTGGAGACATGTGTAGTTAATTCTAGTGTATTAATAGGTCAAGTATCCCTTCTGCAAAATGGTCAGGACTAGACCATTTTATGTTTCACAGGTTTGGGGGAAAAAAATCAGACTTTACTGTTTAACATCCCTAATCTGAACATGAAAAACACTCTGAAATCTGAAAATGTTCTGAACAGCAACAATGCTTACAACTTTTTCCATTTTGCAGCATTTTGTATTAGATTTTTAAATTTTATCTGTGTGTGTGTGTGTGGTGTGTGTGTGTGTGCGTGTGCGTGTGCGTGTGCGTGTGCGTGTGTGCGTGTGTGTGTGTGTGTGTGTATTTGGGGGGTGGGCTGAATGCAGAGGCCAGAGGAAGATACCAAGTCTCCTGCTCAGCCGTGCTCCATGTTGTCCCCCTTGAGACAGGGTCTCTCACTGAACCCAGTGCTATGCTGACGGCCAGGAAGCCCCAGTGTCTTCCAGTCTCTGTACCTCACAACACTGGGGTTACAACTATCCTGTCTTTTACCTGTGTGCTGGGGATTTGAACTCAGGTCCTAATGCTTGTACAGTAAATGCTCTTACCCTTTGACCCATCACCCCGGCCCCATTTTTCAGATCTTCAAATTAGGGATTGTCAATTTCTATATTACTATCATTATACATTCTTTTATACATTAAATATAAGGTACATATTACCATTTTAAAAAGATATTTATCTAAAATTTGAAAACTTAATGAAGACTTACATAATAGGTTATCTAACAGTTTCAATGTGTCGAAACATGTGAGTTTGTGAGGTCTTAGAACACCAAACTCGAAGGCTTGGAGCTGGTACTGAACTCAACACCTCTGAAATTTGATAGAGGCTAATTTTGTGCTGTGTTATTTTTTAACAGAGTTGTAGAATTCCAACTTGGGGTTGACATCAATGAGTCTACGTAATTCTTACATATGATTTAAAGAACAAATCCATTCCTGATGAACAGAATACCTAGATGTATGCACACAGTCATCCTGAGTAAATACTCTGATCAATAGAATGGTAAGTATTGCATAATAACAAACACTTCCAACAGTACTAAACTCCTGTTGGTTTACGGACGGCTTTACAATTGTTCCTAAATGTTTATGTACCCGCAGGTCAATGGTTCTACAAGCCAGATTCTCTGATTTACTACTGTATGGTCAAGCCAAGAAGTAACGTTCTTTTTCACAGAGATTAAAATGGTGTTGGTACTTGAAACTAGTTCCATGGAACAAGGCTGGGAAAATGTATCAGGCTAGCCACATTCTCTGCTAAAACACAATGTCAGACTTTTAAAAATTTGTGGATGCTCAGGCTGTAAATCTACGCTGAGCAATGTTTCTGAAGTGGGAGGGACTGCGATGGTCCACTGTCAATTCCTTGAATCTTAACACATGGCTAAGTTATGGAGCCTTAAAAGAATAGCAGCTCTTAGATAATTTGAGGCAGTGGAATTACTGATATTTAAACAGATGTCACGTTTTTTAGCAAATGGAAATTAAGGTACAGATGGTAAGGGCTTGGTAGCCATTGTGGATTAAAAATCTACATTAAAAAAGTAAATATCACACAAATGTATCATGATGCCCATTGCTTTTCCCAACTAAAAAAGAAAATTTTAGTCTCTGGGCTCCTAACACCTGGCATAGGAAGTATTTCTCAGCTCAGTTCATTCCATTTAGGACAAATTACACAAACATTCATTATCACACAGTGAACTATCAATGACAAAGAAGATAATAAATATTTGTACCTCCACGTCAAGGACCTTACGGAAAATGGCTTGAGCCAAGCATTCCCGGGAGTACTTCTGGTGATCCTGTTTCATGATATTTACTTTATATTCCTTTTCAGAAAGGATTCTCCCACTTTTTGTTATCTGTTGTGAATAACAAATAAAATCCACGGATGAATAAATAAAAATGCACACAGAAACACAAAGTAGAGAAAGTCTTGTTAGGCACCAAAGAAAGTCAAAGGAGGGGGAGGAGGAAGGAGGGAGACAAAGAGGGAGGGAGAGAGGGAGAGAGAGAGGGAGAGAACCAGAGGGAAGGAGAAAAAGCAGCCTTATCTTCAAAGCCTAAGGAGGCTAATACATTTTCACTTTTAATGGTTATTGTATAAGGCGGGAAGGAGAAAGGAAGATTCACATCCCATCAGTGTGAAAACACACACAGGTGGTACACCTGAAGTTTAGAACAAGGTTTTCATTAGAGTAACGAGTTCCTGGTGATGGAGCCAGGTGTCCCTTTCATCCCCCCGAAGGCACAGGGGTGGGGGTGGGGTGCTGCTACCTGGAAACAGTGCCCAGGCTGTGTTCGCAGGACGGCTGGTCTCACAGGAGACCCTCGCAAGGTTAGACAGGTGCACTACAGAGGAGCCCTTTGGTTTGTTTTGAAAAATAATTGCTTTCATTACTCTCTCTGCTCCCTGTCCTCCCTCCGTCCCCTCTCCAGCCTGGAATGTAATTTAATTTGTTGTGATTTAGAATTTTACCGATTAGGGTTCTGAAGATAGAAAGTTTTCAATATTGGTCTCAGTGGGCATCACTGCAAGTCCCAGGAGTAGCAATTTCTGCCCGTTGCTTTTTGTTTTCTTTGAATTTTTCCCACAGGCATATTTGTGGCTGTTCCGTGACCCCTCTCCCATAAACGAGGTGGCACTCTTTGTTTTGTTCACCTTCCTTAGGCTACTTTATGCCAGTATTTTAAGATTAGATGCAAGCCACCTTTGTATTCTTAATTTTACTCTTACTTTGCTAGCTGTAATTTTATATACTGTTGTAAGATATTACAGCATTGAGCTCACCCAGAATTGGGACACATTTGGTTACTTGGTTACACACACACACACACACACACACACACACACACACACTTTTGAATGAAGGGGCATATTATAGAACATGGGCTTGAAACTCCACATATATCTGGAGGATGCTGTCCATGGATTTCATGTCTAACTGGGGAACTGTTAGGCCATCCTGACTGCCATCCCTGCGGCACTTAACATGAGTCATGGATTCTGTCTGCTTTCCCTAGTTAGACTAGAAGCCCCTGTAGGGCATAAGATCTTAAACGTGAATGTGGATCAGAAGCACTGGGAGGGTTTGAAGAACAGCAGATTTGTGGCCCAGTCCCCTAGCTTCCCACTCAGCAAGTCTGGGGCTGCAAGATTCATGTTTGCATGTTCTAATGAGTTCCCAGGTGATGTGAACACAGAGGCTGTGCTGCTGCTGTTGGATCCACCACTCTAAAGTACTACGCCCTCCTTATTTGAACTGCTACAGTTTTAACCAGTGTTAAATGCTTAGAGGTGCTGTTAAGCAAACACAAAGCCCTTCACTTCACAATGTTCAGAGTCACCACAGTAATTAGGGTGGTGATCCATGGCAGATCTCTGTCATCTGACCACTGGGCACCAGGGTGGTCATTTCACAATTGAGGAAGTTGGGCTGAAAGTGATCCATGAGTGATTTTCTCTGATTCCTCTCTTAACAGCAAAGCCAGATTTCAGCTGGTCTGTCTGATGACGAAGTCTCTAGAGGCTGAGAAGGCTGTTCTCTGAGATCTACCCAACTAGTGCTAAGCACAGAAACAGCAATTGGAAACACAGTCTGCATTCTTTCGACACCAAGGCAAGACTGTTTAAGGAAACCCCCTGTACTTTAAGAAGGAAAACAGTCAATAATGTCTGGAACCACACCCCATTCTTTCCATTGAAAATCATAGTATTTTAAAGATTCACTACGTTATACACATTTCAAGGAATGGAAATTGTGAGGTAGAATGGTTTTGAAGCCAATCAAAGGCACTAGGGTCTCAATAAATCATCACATGGAAATGAAAGTTTAAAAAATTTCAAGAGGGGGAACTGGAGAGATGGCTCAGAGGTTAAGAGCACTGGCTGCCCTTGCAGAGGACCTGGGTTTGATTCCCAGCACCCACATGGTGGCTACCAACCATCCTTAACTCCAGTTCCAGAGAATCCAATGCCCTCTTCTGACCTCCTTGGGCATTAACAGGACATGGGTGCACTTTTATACATGCAGGCAATACACTCACACACATAAAATAAAATATTTTTGAAATTTTTAAACAATCCAAGAGGAAACACGTCACATTTTTCATACCATATTTTGTATTAAAAACAAGATTTTTTTTCAGAAACAAAGTGCTCTGTTACCCTCAGTCTTTAACGGTTTCGGGCTCAGAATGTGTGTTGAAATTTTAAATGAATAAACAAATGAACTATGCTGCGGAACACTCACAGGAATTTTTCCTCAATAATTTGTTTCCTTGGCAGCCACTCTAACCTCTCTTCTCATCTTAGAAAGAGTCTCAAATAAATAAATCAAAAGTTTGGAAAGAAAGTCATTTATCTAAATTAGTAGAGGAAAAAAAACATGTCGCTGACTGAACTGGGAAACCGGAAAAAGAGGCTGGGCATTTTCAGTCTTAACTGAAAGGATGTGGGGAGAAAACAAGAGCAAGCCTTACCAGCCCTGATCTCAGGAGATGCCGCCTGATCCTGGTGTTGTTAAAATATCCGGCCAGGTGTTTATCGGTGAGACTATTATATGCCGCAAGTGATCTGAAACAGAAAATGAGACATTCGGGTTTAACGAATGATTGTTTGATCACCAAGGCCATTCTCGGTCTTCTCCCTAAATTCCGCCTAACTCAGTCAACTATGCATTCGTGGACAGGTTTAATGACCAGGTGCTGAGCACCTACCAAATTCCAGGTCTTAGGATAAGAGGCAGGAGACAGTCCTGACTTTGATTAGACAAGAATGGAAACCAGAAATGAATGATTAAAATGAGTTTAAAAAGCCCAAAGATAGACATGTGCCTTAAATCTTGCTTCAGAGAAGAGACCCAGCTGCTGCTCTCAGAAAAAACTTCTCAGCAGAGAGCAATTTTAGGACTCCATGGCCCCTGCGGGCCCTGCACACACACCACCTGCATCTCTCCTGCCAGCAGGACACGGTTTAAAGGCCTGTCTTCCATCTGTCAGGGATCAGGTGACCCACAAGCCCCCCTCCTCTCCAGAAAGCATCTCCTGATGCCCCCGTCCTGTGTGACACTCCACTGCAGGAGACCCCGGAACATTACTCATCCCACATTATGAAACCTCTCGTTTCCCGGCTCCTCTGCTGGCTCTGAAGGCCATGGTTGATTCTCAGTGTCACTACTGATGGTACCTGTTCTGTTCCTAAGCAATAATGTGCCCAGGAGATGAAGACATGGCTTTCTGTGGGATTTATTCTTATTGACATAAATTTCCATTATTAAGTTTAGCATTTTGATTTATTAATTTACTCATATTTATCTAGACAATTCCATTAATTCTACATCTAGTACCAAAATTTTCCTTGTGTAGATGTACAGATGATATTAGATTTGGGGGGGTCCTTTATTTTAGGAGTTAAAGGAGGCCGGATGTGGTGACACACACCTGTAAACCAATACTGATCATAGGACACCAAGGCAGGAGGATTTCAAGTTGGACACCAGCCTGACTCTCCTCTCTTTTCTCTCTCTCTCTCTCTCCCCCCCCAATACATGCATCATGACTCAAAAGAAAACCAGCTAAATTCTTGGCTATATACTATACCCAAGAATTAATTAGTTAATTAATTAGTAATTAATACATGATTAATATCAGTATGAAAGTCAGAGTTGGAAACTTCCTATCTCTTATTTATTTGTTCATTTATTATATTTATGTGTATGAGTGTATTGCCTGCATATATGCAAGTGCACCTGCATCGTGCAATGCCCAAGCAGGTCAGAAGAGGCTGTAGGATCCCCTGGGACTGGAGTTACAGACAGTTGTTAGCTGCCATTGTGGGTACTGGGATTCGAACCCTGGTCTTCTGCAAGAACAATCAATGTTCTTAACCTCTGAGCCATGTCTCCTGCACCCCCCACCCTTACACACACCTAAGATTTTAACATG